GGGAGTGGGAGAGGGAGAAGCAGGCTTCCTGCGGAGCAGGGAGCCCGATGCGGGGCTCGATCCCAGGACCCTGGGACCATGACCTGAGCCGAAGGCAGACGCTTAACCAACTGAGCCACCCAGGCGCCCCTGGGTATGGCCTTCTTATAATAACCTATATTTCTGCCCTACTCCCTGGACCTCTCTGAACAAACTGGCACACTCTCCACTCCCAACAGCCTTTCAGAGTTTCCTCTCAATGGAATATCCGTGGTTCCTTCACCCTTGCTATTTACAAGAGGGACGAATGGTGGGGAGCCTGTGGAGACCTTTCACCCAGCACTGGAATTCGTGGCACTAATATGCCAACCATCCCCATTCAAGTAGGTCCTGAATTTCAGAGTCCTAGTCTCTCCAAAAAAGTGCCTCACAAAACACCTTTCCAGAAATGCCTCTTCTTGACCCAGCTGGTTCCTTGCTTCGTCCTATTTCTTTCCTTATTCCCCCCTTTTACCTCCAAACTCAGAGTCTTAAAATCACCTATGGACCTAGCAATTGTACTCCTGAGTATATACCCAATAGAATTGAAAACATATGCCCCTATAAAGACTTGTGCGTGGATGTTCGTAACAGCCACAAAGTGAAAATAACCCCAATGTCCATCAACTAATAAATAGATTTTTAAAAAACCTAATAAATGGATAAACAAAATATATATTTATATGTATATCTATACAGTGGAACATTATTTAGCCATAAAGAGAAATGGAGTTCTGATACATGCTATACCATGGTTGAGCCTTGAAAACATTATGCTAAGTGAAAGTAGTGGGACACAAAGAGCCACATATTGTATAATTCCATTTATATAAAATGTCCAGATGAGACAAACCATTAGAGAAAATAGCTTAGTGGTCACCAAGAGATGAGAAAGTAGATTAGCAGTGGCATGCCATAACAAATATACTAAAAACCACTGAATTGTACACTTTAAAATGGTGAATTTTTATGAATTATATCTCAATTTCAAAAAATTTTAAGTCACCTATGACGAGTCACCTAACCTTTCAAAACTTTTCACCTTCTTCACCCATGAAATGTGGATCTTGGAGGAGAGATTATTCTAAGTAAATAGTTCCAGCTGTTGTTTCAGAAGAATCCTCCAGCAAGGCTTGTGGTCAGGAATGGATAGATCAGCCATTCCTGACCAGTCCTCCCTCACGCTGAGCCCATCTGGAGTCTTGGATCCTAGAGTGTTTGGGACACATTATTAGATGTTTTATGGTTAGGCAAATCAACAAAACCTTGAGGGAAGACAGGACTTTTTCAAGGTCACAGAATGAATCGGGGGCATTCTGGGCCTAGAGTCCTGTTTTCTTCTTTCTAGTAGTATGTGTTTCTTTTTTAGACTACAGAGAAAAAATTTTCCTAACCCTACTAATAGCCCCTGCTCCCAGTGAAAGAAACTTCAGATTTCCTTCTGCTGATATCTGAAATCAGGCCTACAAGCAAGTTAGGAGGTCACCTGCTGCAAATATCCGCTGATTTGTACCTACCCAACAATTAGAACTGAAATTTTTCAACAGGCTTGATTTCCTCATGCTGGCATACTGAAAAATGAGGTAAAAGTAGATTTCTTGCAGAACAGTTGCTTCCTAAGCCAGCTGCAACTAAGCCTAGTTGGTATATTATGAGAAAGCACCTCGGCTGGGCTTTTTTGGAGATTTTAAGAAAAAATAAAGTTTTACTTCTATCTTCAAAGAGCTTGAGTTTGATGAGAGAACAGATGTGCAGAAGTAATATAGCCTAGAATGTAGAAACTCCAATTGAAATGGAAAGAAACCAATAGCTTGGGGGTTCCAAATAGGAAAAGAGTTTAGTTGGGGCATCGAAGAATCCATGGAGGGAATGGCATTTGGACTGGGTGGAAGGGACAGGCAGGGACCACAGCAAGAATGAAGGTGCCAAAACCAGAAGGAATGACGAACACTAGAGTGGAGCTTAGAGTACTTGTAGAGACATTGTGAGAAACACGGCAGAAAGAGTATTAGGGCCACGTTCTGTGTTAATGCCAGGATTAAGAAAAATTGCTTACTTTCTGAGGGGGATGAGAACAGTCTCATATACTCTGGTATAGCCTTGGAGAGCAAAAGTAGCATTATTTATCCAAATGATTAGAGAGCTATGAACTCTTTGGCCCGGGGTCCCACTTCTAGGTATTTTTACTTAGAAATATAATGATGTTCATTACAGCATTGTTTTTAATACTAGAAAATTACAAACAACCTACATGTCTAACTGTAGAGCAGTGGTTCTCACCAGAGGGGGTTTTGACCCCAGGGGACATTTGGAAATGTCTGGATTCATTTTTGGTTGTCACAACTTGAAGAATTCTAGTCTAGTAGGTGGAGGCCAGGGATGCTGCTAAACATGCCACAATATATAAGACAGTCTCCACGACAAAGAGTTACTGGGCCCAAAATGTTGACAGTGTCAAGGTTGACAATATGTATGTATTCTTTATATTTATACCTAAATCTTTAAAATATATATTAAATCTTATAAATAATGTGTATTTTAATATTTTCCTGGAGAATATATATTTATATAGTCCATATATTTAAAAATATCCAAAAAATATTGCAATGGTAATATCTGGGATTACATTTAATTTCAATATCTTTCCTTTGTGTCTTCTTGTCTTTTCTAAATTGTACTCAAGAATATATAGGGGTTTTTATTTTGTATGAGTCAGGGTTCTCTAGAGAACTGGCTCACGTGGTTATGGAGAAGTCTCACAATCTGCCGTCTGCATACTGGAGAAGCAGGAAATCCACTGGTATAATTCAGTCTATGTCCAAAGGCCAGAGAACCAGGGGGCCAAAGGTGTAAGTCCTGGTCTGAATCTGAGGACCGGGGGTGCCGATATCCAAGGGCAGGAGAAGATGGGATGTCCCAGTTCAGGCAGAGGGCACATTTATCCTTCCTCCACCTTTCTATTCTAGTGAGGCCCTCTACTGTTTGGATGAGGCCCACCTATGCTAATGAGGGTGATCTGCGTTATTTACCCTACCGATTCAAATGCCAGTCTCATAAAAACACCCTCATAAACACACCAGGAAGTAATGTTTTAGCAGCTATCTGGGTATCCCTTACCCTGTCAAGTTGGCAAATGAAATTAACCATTCCAGACTCACAATTAAGACAATTATTTTACTGAGCATCAAGAATGTGCCAGGCAGCACTGCAAGGCCTAGGGAATCAGCTCTGGCAGGTCCCCGCCTCATGCAACTCACAGTATAGAGGTGAAGACAAACAACAGACAAACGAAAAACAAACAAGATCATTTCTAACAGTAATAAATGCAATAGAAGAAATAAATAGGATGATGTGACAGGCAGGACCTGGAGAGGGTACTACTCGGGATAAGATGACAAGGGATTACTAGCTTGAGCTGAGACCTTGAGGTTGAGCAGGAGCTGGTGTGCAGAGAGCTGGGGAAGAGCATTCCAGACAGAGGGCTCACGTTATTTACGGTGAGAATGTAGAAATTCAGGTTGCTGCATGGCCTGCCAGGCCAAGGAGTCACCTGTGTGCACAGTACTGAATGGGCACAATAAGACTTTACTACACACTACAATAAAGCAAGTAATCTACTTTCCGTTAAAGTTCATTTGCAAAGTTCAGAGTGCCAGCAACAGTCCATTAGCCTGCATTCCACAGTATTTACAACATAGAGACACGAGGCTTTCACAGGTATATTCATGGAAATGAAAAGTACATTTCATCAGAAAGAAAATGTTCTCCTCCCCTAGTGTACTAGAGGGTACTTCAGTGAAGATTCTGGTATTGCGAGATTCAAAAAGAGCCGATAGCAGCTAGACTACGTATGCATTTCTGACTGACAATCCAAAAAGATACAGATTGTATCCAGAAAAAAACCACATTAAAGTGCCAAGAGAAAGATGGGGGCGGTGGGGGAGGGAGGTTTAAGGGAAACAGATTTTTAAAAGCAAGCCTCCACAGAAAGGACAGAACCAAAAATGCTCCTTAAAGGTTACCTCTGAGTAGCAAGAGTATGGGTGATTTTAATGCTCTTTCTGTATTTTCTACAGTGAACATGTATTTTTGTCATAAAAGAAAAAAATGTGAGCAGTGTTGGTTTTTTTTTTTAAGATTTTTATTTATTTATTTGACAGAGAGAGACACAGCGAGAGAGGGAACGCAAGCAGAGGGAGTGGAAGAGGGAGAAGCAGGCTTCTCGCAGAGCAGGGAGCCCGATGCTGGGCTCGAACCCGGGACCCTGGGATCATGACCTGAGCCGAAGGCAGACGCTTAAGGCCTGAGCCACCCAGGCGCCCCAACGGTGTTATTTTTACGAGGGCCGCTCGAATTCTAAAATTAAAGGGTCGTTGACTTCTAAAGCTGGGGAAGAATTTGATGCAGATTCTGAAATCGGGCCGGTAGGTGCCAGACCTGTAATGTACACAGGGAAGCAGGCTGAATGGTGAGCATGCGCAGTGAGGCCGTGCTGGGGAGGCCCTGTGAAAGGGGGCACAGAAGGGTGGGGGGAGGGGCAGGGGGATGGGGGTCGGGTGGGCAGTCCCTCTCGGCTCTAGCCATTGCCTGCCAGGGAGGAAAGTGGGCCCAGAGTTGTTAGATCCTCCGATTCTCCAAGAGCAGCTGAACAAATCTCCTGAACAGCGTATGTAGTCTTCTGTGTCAAACGTTGAAGAAAAACACACCTACAGTAGCGGGTCGTCCCTGCGCTGCCCGTTTGGCAGTCTCTGCTTGGGGGTGGTTTTTAGTTTTGCCCACCTCCTGCTCTGTCTAGAAATCCCTTCTCAGCTCTCAGGCCAAGGTGAAAAGGAAACTCTCACCTTCTCCCAGCTGGGGCCTGGCGGCATCTTGAACCTTCTGATCCTCATAATCCTTGGTCTCGGGAAATATTAATGATTTAATCTCCCGAGCTCTCTCCTTCACCTCTGCAGCCATAGCGGCGAGATCCACAGGCCAGACCCACAGAAGCCCAGCTTGGCACGAAACACCTCCCGACTCCGTCTTGCCACGAACTATAAGCCTTTCCTGGGAAGGCCAGCCGGAGCTACCTCTCCACCAAAGTAGCCAGTGGGATTCGCCATGGGCGAGGTGACGGCAGAGCAGGTGGAGAAGTTCCTGGACTCGAATATCATGTTTGCCAAACAGTACTACAACCTCCACTACCGGGCCAAGGTCATCTCAGAGCTGCTAGGGGCCAAGGAGGCAGCCGTGGACTTCAGCAACTACCACTCGCTGAGCAGTGTGGAGGAGAGTGAAATCATCTTCGACCTCCTGCGGGACTTCCGGGAAAATTTGCAGGCGGAGAGATCCGTCTTCAACGTCATGAAGAAGCTGTGCTTCCTCATGCGGGCAGACCGCATGAGCCTGTTCATGTACAGGGTCCGAAATGGCATCGCAGAGCTAGCCACCCGGCTCTTCAACGTCCACAAGGATGCTGTTCTTGAGGAATGCCTGGTGGTGCCCGACTCAGAGATTGTGTTCCCCCTGGACATGGGTGTGGTGGGTCACGTCGCGCACTCTAAAAAGATCACCAACGTCCTCAACACAGAAGAGGTATCCTCTTCCCCATAAGAATGGGGGGCAGGGAGGCATTATTCCTGGGGTCTTGGGGGGTGCAGGTGGGGTGGGGAGCTGCTGGCCATCAATACTGGGCTGGTCAGTTTGGCACTTCTCTTAATTTATTTACTTATAACATCCAAACCTAACAGAAGAGTTTAAAAATAGTACAAACAACTATGTATCTTTCATCCGGATTCACCAGTTGTTCACTCCTTGCCACGTTTGCTTTATCTCTCCATTTTTTTCTGACCCATTTGGGAGTTAAGAGTAGACAATGTGCTGTGTATTTCCAGAACAAGGACATTTCTTACGTATCCACAGTGATCAAATTCAGGAAATGTAGCATCGATGCAATACTATTATCTAATAAACAGTGCAGATTCAGTTTTTGCCATTCGCCTCAAATACACCCAGATAGCACTATCTCTTTAGTCCCTTCAAATCTGAAACAGTTCCTCAGCCTGTCTTGTTTTCCACAATGCTGATGTTTTTGAAGGGAGCAGGCCAAATACTTTGCAGAAGTGTCCCTCCGTTTGGGCTTCGTCTGTGTCTTCATGGTTAGATTCAGGTCGTGTGTTTCTATCAGGAGTACCCTAGAGGTGATGTTGTGTTTATCTTTGTGCATTACATCAGAAGATATATGATGGCGGTCTGTTTCATTACTGGAAACGTTAATAGTACCTCTTGGTTAAGCGCTTGGCTCTTGTTTCTGAGTCCAGCTTTCTGTGGGATTCTGCTGGCAGCTCTGATAAAGACCTCTTTGATCACCGGGACAAAACACTTCATACAGACCCCCCCCAAGGCTCTCTGCCCCTGGGGCCAGCTCCCAGTTATCCTCTGGATCTCAACTTACAAGTTACTTCTTCCGGGAGGCCCTCCCAGATCCCTCTGTCACAGTTTCCTTCCTAAAATCATTTATCCTAATAAGTCTGGGGGTCAGGGACCATGCCTGCCTTATTCTCCACTTTATCCTAGCAAATGTGTGGCACAAAGCAGAAGCTCAGTCAATACTCGGCATGAAAGACTCACCATCAGGTAATTATACTCAATTCCTTTGACCCCTGTCTTGCCCAAAAGGATGTTTGCCCCATGCTAGCAGGGCCCAAGCCTGGTCAGCAGCACTGACCAAACCAGGAGCCTGTGTTCAGGCATTCCCGAGATGCAGCCTGGACATTTTGTGACTATGCTCACCTTACCTCTGGCCTTATTTCAGATTAAGAGTCATAAGGTTAAAAGGGGAGAGAGGAGGCTCCAGAAATTATCTCATCCATCTGCCTTATTTAATGGCTGAGGAGCCTAGAGTCAGGAGAGCTTGAGCAGGGGCTTGTCCAAAGTGACCAAGGAATTAGGGCAAGGCCAGGACTTCTAAACCACAAATGCAGGAACTTGAACGGATTGTCTTTTTGACTTGGGTTCCTTGGCAAGATAAGAAGCACAGACTTCGACCTCTGTGGGAGATGGTTTTCTCTGAAATCCACTGGGCTGGATCTCCCATGGGGCTCATCTTTCCCTGTTTCCCCTTGGACACCCGAGGGTAGGAGGATGGTTGTGCATCCAGGGGGCTTTCAACTAGACTGGAGCCTGTTCTCCCTTCAACTCTCTCTAGACTTTCATTGTAGCCCACAAGGATTGCCACAGTCTTACAACGTAACTGATTATCCCTGTTTCACGGATGGTGAAACTAAAACCCAGAAAGGTTAATAACTTGCTCAGAGCCACTCTGACAGAAAGTGACAGAGCAGGTATTTGAACCCAGGCACTCTGGCCTTGTGCCCACACTTTTCACTGCTCTGCTATTCTGTACTTCTGCCTTATCTATAAAATGAGGGCATTGGACTAGGTGCTGTTTCCTAGTGGTCATTTCAAATCATATAGCAGAGAATGAAGAGGTTAAGCTTTGAGGTCACATCTCAGTGTGAATCATGACTGTGACTTTCTAAGAATAGTGCCTTGGTGTATTGTTGAGCCTGCCTGGGGTCACTTCCTAATTTATAAAATGGGGGCGAGAATACCTACTGTGCAGTGTTGTTGTAGGATCAAAAGAGCAAATTATTTCCCGTCTAGCAAGGTTCTTGGCACATTGTAGTTGCTGCTATTGGCCGCTCCCACTCCTTGTTGTTATTATTACTCTTCTGTTGTTAAGAATCTATTCTAAGGGATGGCTGCTGTACTAGGTCTGTGTAGGACTTGGAGAAAAATCCAGTCCTGCCCTTCTGGAGCTTTCAGTTTAAAATTTGTTGGTGGGAAAAACGGAAGAGAGGTGCTAAGAGTGTCTGTCGATCCCGGGTTGAGGGACTGAGGATGTAGGCAGGTGCTCTGATGCTGACGTACCCTGGCCTAAGAGTTTGCTGAGCCTCTATGCTAAGGGAATGCCTGCTATTTCCTGCTCAAACCCAAAGTTCACTCTGAAAGGAATGCCTGAGCTTCCCTGGGAGCTTTCAAGCCTAGGTCAGTCTCTCTGGCTGGTGACTCAGGCCAGGGTGAAGTTTGTCCAGGCCAGCAAGCCTTGGTAATCAGCATTTGCCTGTGTTTGCTCTTTCCTTGAGGAATCGTGCTCAACCTGGAACTCTGGATAGTGACTGGAGGCTGGGGGAGGACGAGGAAGATGGTACAGACTGAGGTCTGGGTTGGCCCTGCACCATCAACAAGTGATAGCCTTCAGCACCCTCAAAACAGCTGGGCCATGGTTAATGTGAAACCCTGAATGAAGAAATTTCCCAGGGTTGTAATATAACTCTCCATGTCCTAGCAAATTCCTGCTCAACCTTGGGATCGCCTCAGGGAGACTTGCCATTAGGATTGCCAGATAAAATACAGGATTCCCGAGGCACCTGGGTGGCTCAGTTGGTTAAGCAACTGCTTTCGGCCCTGGTCATGATCCTGGAGTCCCAGAATCAAGTCCCGCATCGGGCTCTCTGCTCAGCGAGGAGCCTGCTTCTCCCTCTAACCCTTCCCCCCTCATGTACTCTCTCTCTCTCATTCACGCTCTCTCAAATAAATAAATAAATCTTTTTTAAAAAATAAAATAAAATACAGGATTCCCAGTAAAATTTAAATTTTAGGTAAACAAAGAACAATATTTTAGTATAAGTATGTCCCATGCAATATTTAGGATATACTTGTACTTAAAAAAGTATTTATTTACTTGGAATTCAAGTTTAACTAGGCATCTTGTGTTCATTTGCTAAATCTGGCAACCCTACTAGCCCTTCAATATTTGTGTGTGTTTTATGCTTTATCCTTTCTCCTTAGGAAAGCCCACAAAGCCTGCCTGTTCCTGTCTGGTTTATTCGCCTGGAACAGAGTGGGTCCTCATTACAGATTATTGCATGAATTAATAAATGATGACCCTTGCCAGTTGGCTGTGATATTGTGATTTATAAAAAGAAATATTTATTTGGTCTTTGTCCTGATTCCTGACACAGAACTCTTAAGACTCTTACCATTTCCTAAGTGATAGGAGCATCTGACACAGAGCTTCTAAATTCTTTGGAATTTCCTGTCTGGTAGGTGGTTTTTTGTTCTAGTGAGATGACTTTTGGTGGGCTCCTGGCTGGAGCCCATCACCAGAAACTTGAAGCCATGATTAGAAACTTGGAACTTTCAGCCCACCTCCCCATTCTCTGACAATAGGAGATGGGCTGGAAATGGAGCTAATAATCAATCATGCAGATGTGATGAAGGCTCCATAAAAATCCCCAAAAGGACAGGGTTCAGAGAGTTTCTGGGTTGGTGAGCACAGGCACGTGCCAGGAGGGCGGCACACCTTGACTCTAGGGGCCAGAAGTGCCTGCTTTTAAGACCCTTTTGGATCTCACCCTATGTATCTCTTCACATGACAGTTTATCTGTATCTTTTATTATGTCCTTTATCATACAATAAACCTATAAATGTAAGCATTTCCCTAAGTTCTGTGAGCTGTTCTGGCCAATTATTGAACCCAAGGAGGGGGTCTTGGGATCCTGCTCTAGCCAGCTCGTCAGAAGTATAGGTGACCAACTGGGACTTGTGATTGGCATCTCAAGTGGGGACAGTCTTGTGGGATGGAACTCTTACCTGTGGGGTCTGACGCTGACTCTAGACGGATGGTGTCAGAACTCAGCTGAACTGTTGGATGGTCAGCTGGTGTCAGAGAAGTGGTCGGTGTGGGAGAGACACCTACATATCTGGTGTCAGAGTGACGTGAGTGTGTTACTAGTGTGAGAGGAAAGGAGAACAGGGAGTTTTTCCAACACATGACAATTCCCATATCTGAAGACTGAACCTGAGAGCACATTTCCAGAGACTCTCACAGCTGTTGTCCTTCCCTGCACATGAGACCCGGAACCCAGGGTGCTAGACTGGAAGGAAGCCTCAAGGAGGACTCGGTCCAACACTCTGATTTTACCAAAGGGCAAACTGAGGCTCAGAGAATTTTCAACTACTGATAATATACTGATTGACCCCCTGAAGCCTCAGAGAACAAGTCCCTCCCTTCCATTCACCCATCCTGTGGGGACATCCTTCACATTATGATTTGAATTGTGGGTTCATGTTTTACATGATGTTCCCAGTATCCTGTGAGAACCCAGTGAGGACAACCTCTTCCTTCTTATTGGTCTTGGCATATCCAGTGCTTCTCACAGAGCCTGTGTTCAGTAAATATGAATGAATGAATGAATGAATGAATGAATGAATGAATGAATCGATCAATCAATCAGTGTATCAATATATAAACCAGTGAATGAATGGCTGTCCCACTTGCCAGCAAGGGAGTTGTCTACAGAAGAGGGAAGGTTCTATGTGACAGGGCTGATGTGAGAGTTAATGAGATAACAGATTAAGTCATCAGGCTCTGGGCTGCGTATATCATTATTGCTCCATAAACAGTAGATCTCACCATGGGACACAGCGGAGCTTGACACCATGAAGGTTTGAAAAGAGGAACTGGGATTTCTGAGAATGAGAAGCTGTCTTACGTTGCATTGGAATAGAATCTAACCTGTTCACAGTGGCCTCCGAGGCTCAGCCAGATGGGGCTCCTGCCCACCTGTTGGACTTCCTTGCCCTCCACTCTCCCTCTCCCTCGCTCTGCTTCAGCTACACTTGTCTTCCTTATGTTGCTCAGATGGGCCAACTCACTGCCCCCTCCTGGCCTTTGTACTCACTGTGGTCTCTGCTTAGAATGCGTTCCACCCACCTGGCTCCCCTGAAACTTCAGCTCTCAACATCACCTCTACAGAGAAGCCTCCCTTGTTCACTGCTGCAGCCTCAGGGTCTAGAACAGTGCCTGGCATAAGGCACTCCATGAATGCTCACTGGATGAATGAATGACTCTGGGCTTTCCCTAAGTGGGGCATCTGATTCCCAGGACTTTAAACAGTTTGAGCTAAATGACTTCTAAGGCCCCCCCGCTTCTGATAACCTGAGGTTCTGTGACATGGCTGTGTAGAATACTTTCTATGCTGAAGGTATAAGGATGGCAATGATTGTGGGAACACCAGTCAGTGGGCAGCTGTATTATTTGTGAGAGAGTTCTGGGGCTTCTCAGTGGGAAAGAAGGTTCTGGTGGATTTAGTAACATCTGCTTCAGAGGCAGGTAAGGCCCAAGTATTGTCTTCCTTGATAGAAGTGAATATTGCAAGACAGAACGGCTTCATGAAATGAATCCAAGCATGCCCCACCCAGGCCTGTGTTCAGAGCTTTATCAGTGTCCTTAGAGAATGACATAGAAAACGCTTCATGACTAATGCCTCTTTAGAGATTTTGCTTAATCCTCGGGTGCTAATTCAAGTAGAGCTCTACAGGCTTCTCTTAATTCCTGTACCCTTCACCTGGTTTGAGACAGCTTCACTGACAACAGTGTGGTTGCCTGTCTAATCCTACCCTGACAAGAAGAAATCCGTAGATGCGGAGCATCACGCTCTGCATTTCTCTATCGTGGGAAAGGTTCTGCACACTCAATTCTAGAAAAGCTGTGTGAATCGGCTCTATGAAATACACTCCCTTTCTCAGAACAGCATGAACTGTGCATATCTGGCTTGTGTCCCAAGCAATGCCGATGGTTGGGAAAACTCATAGTGCTACCAAGAAACAGAGAGGTGGATTCTTTCGGATTTAAGACAACATTTCAGGCTCTGCCTCCCCTTTCTGTTCCTGTGCTGGCCTCCCAGGCTGCTTTAGGGGTTGGGGGTCGAGATGTGTACTCTTCTGTACTCCCACAGCTTTGAGCCGAGCCTTAGGTCCTGTATTACTATTATTGATCGGTCTGTGAGTTGGCCTGAACCTTAGTCTCCCTTGTATCCCTAGCGCTCAGCGTAAGGCCTGACACACAACGGGGCTTCCATTAAGACCTGCGAGAGAGCGATCTCCGTTGGACTGACTGTGTGGTGCTAGAACCGAATTGCTCAAAAAGCAGGAAGTACCAAGTGGTTTGTTGGATGACCTGAACTCAGGTCTACCCTTACCGAGGCTTCCCTTAAAGGCAGCAGAGCTGAGGGCAGGTTCTGGAGTCACACACACACACACACACACACACACACACACACACACACACACACACACAAAGTCACATTAACATTCTAGAGTCTCAGTTTCCCTTTGCAGAGAATGGGCTACTAGCAGTCCCCATCTCATAGGATTAAAGTGAGCTGATATAAGTAAAGCACCACACGTGATACCTGCTAGCAATTGTGATTGTTATACTCACCAAAGTCTTTTCCTCACTCAAGCTTCTATTTCGGGCTTAATTGCCAACACCTCAAGAGAGCCTCCTCTAAACCCCTTCCCCATTCAAAGTCAGTCGCCCCATCCTCAGGTCCCCACAGAGCTTTGCTTGCATCTCCTCCGCAGTCCTTAGTAAGTTGTAAATCAGACTTTCTCCTACTGGATTTGGGAGGCTTCCAGGGCAGAAATCACCCCTGATTGCATTGCCCTTGCTGAATGGAAGTTGATGGAAATGACTTCATTCTCTTGTCAAAAGATAATAGCGAGTCCCCTCCTCCCACCTCCTACCATGGGCACATGGGGCTCTGGGCTGTTTTACTGTCTTTGCTCTTCCTCTGCCCACCCATGCCTGTCTCTGCCTTCCTGCAGGATGAGCATTTCTGTGACTTCGTGGACACCCTCACAGAGTACCAGACCAAGAACATCTTGGCTTCCCCCATAATGAATGGGAAGGATGTGGTGGCCATAATCATGGCTGTGAATAAAGTGGACGGGCCCCACTTCACCAAGACAGACGAGGAGGTAAGAATGCTTTAGAAACTGCTGGGGTGGTCATGCCAGCAGGTGTCCCAGCTCAAGAAGTCCCCTGAACTTGTTACTTGGCCTGGCCTTGACTTCCCCATCTGTAAGATAAGGGGATTAGTGTGATGCTCTCTGAGGGAGACAGGACAGGGTAGTGGTTAGGATGTGGGGCTCCGAAGCCAGGAGTACAGGGATAATTGTCCTGGCTCTGCTAATACCTAAATGTTTGACTTGGGAAAGTTACATAATTTCTTTAAACCTCAGGGTTTTTTTGTTTGTTTGTTTGTTTTTGTTTTACGCAGGCTCCACGCCCAACGTGGGGCTTGAACTCAGGACCCTGAGATCAAGAGTCAGATGCTCTACCAACTGAGCCAGCCAGGCACCTCTAAGCCTCAGTTTTCTTATCTGTAAAATGGGCCTAATTTTACAGTATCCATCTCTCAGGGTGCTTGTGTTGATCAGATAAGATAACTTACCTAAATGACTTATCACAGGGACTGCAAACTCAATAAATAGTAGCAATTTTTCATTAATACGTCCTATGAACATTGACATTCTACATTCTATGAGTTTTACACTCTTACAATGCACCCTTTTATGAGTCAGCATTCCATGATCCATCTGCTCAAATCGCCTCTGCTGCTTTTAAAATATTCAAATATTTGCTGATGGCAGAAGTGGCCAGAGGAGGGATTTCTCCTTCTCATCTATTTCCCCTCATGCTGTTTGATTTCCAGATTCTTCTCAAGTACCTTAATTTTGCAAATCTAATCATGAAGGTATACCACCTGAGTTACCTGCACAACTGTGAGACTCGGCGTGGCCAGGTAAGGGGCTTGGCTCAAGGGAATGGACTGGGCATGTCTTTTTATTGATGCACTGATGTAGTCAGGCTGGAAAGGCAGTGGTTGATAAAAGTGCCTGGGAACTATCAGGGAGTCTCTGCCCAGCACCCCCAGTGTTAATGAGGTAGCCATGTTTGTAAAGCTGTACCCCAGAGGGATGATATGCACAGTTTTCAAGTCAGGCAGCTTAGATTAAGTTGTTAAGCCATTTACCAACTCTAAGACCTTGCGCAAATCACTTCCTCTGTCTGAGCTTCAGTGTTCCCCATTTGAAAAGTGAGGCTATTATTGATTGGTTCCACCCTCAAAAAATATTGTCAATAGCAAATGAGATAATGCACTTGTGTTCAATCAATGTTTGTTATTATTATTCTTATTAACAATTTATGAAATGAAAGAAATGGAAAGAGTCGCACCCAATATAAGCTGGTCAGTTACTTCAGCTCTCTGGGGACTCAGTTTCTCCATCTGTAAAATGGGGATAATTATCCTGTCTTTGTCTCTTGGTTATTGTGAGGCACTGCTTTGTGCCTTAGAAACTTTGACTCTGTTTTTGTGTTTTGTTAAGGTACTGCTGTGGTCTGGGAGCAAAGTCTTCGAAGAGCTTACGGACATTGAGAGGCAGTTCCACAAAGCCCTGTACACGGTCCGAGCCTTCCTCAACTGTGACAGATATTCTGTGGGGCTCTTAGACATGACCAAGCAGAAGGTAAGAAGACTTCAGAAACAGACATCTCCAAGAGCAGGTTAAATATGCAGTGGAACCCAGACTCGCGTCGCACATTCTGTTCACCGGGAAGAGGCAGGGAGGATGTGGCTGGTTGCGAAAGGTCTTCCCAGGTCTTTCATACTGAAGAGTGGAGTACCAACCTTTAAAGGGGAAAAGTCGACCTAGGGCACAAGTGAGTGAAAACAACCTGGTCTTCCCTGGTCCGTGGGAAAAGCAAAAAGCATATGTGAGAAGGCTTGATGAGGTGGTGAAGGTGAGTGATAAAGAGGTACGATGTAGGGTGCAAGCCAGAAAGAAGAAAGTTGCCAACTTCAGGAATTCTCAGAAAATGCACTCAAAGGTGGGCATAAACCTTCCTAATGGTCTGTCAAGCCCACGGCCCATCTGGGCAGTTAAAGTGGAGGCAGATGTTTGGATCTGGTCCCTCTGGATGCTCAGGGGGCAGATCTGCAGAGGCAAAGGACACAGAGACCAATACAGCCCCCTGCAGTATTTTTCAGCCAGGTTTTCCCCAACCAGTTCCCCCCATTTTTCTTTCTCTACCTGTCTCCACTTCCTGCAACTAATAATTTTCTGCCTTGGAATAGAGTTCCAGAGTTATCTAGATTTGTGATTTCTTATCCCAAAGAGCCAAGATCTAGGATTCCTGTCAGTTTCATTTTGTAGGGCCTTGTGCTGAGTGTGGTGCACTGACCAATGCAGACCCTCAAAATATTTCATTTAATGATTAAAGAATTGCAGAATCTGGAGTTGGAAAGGACCTTGGGTCTAGTCCAGAGGCTCCTAGACTTGAATCAGAATCTTCTGAGAACTGTTTAATAGATGCTAGACCATATTTCCTGATAGTCTGCTTTTTTTTTTTTACTTAATGTTTTGTGAACATCTCTCCACATCAGTACATGTGGATTCTTTTTAATAAGGCTTTGTGTTGAAATAGAACATATACACAGAGGCAGGCACTAACTGCAAGTGAATAGGTCAGTGAATTGTATAGCGTGAACATCCCATGTAAGTACCACTGAGATTAAGAGATAGAACATTACTAACACCTCAGAAGCCCCTTGCTTACCCCTTTCCATTAACTTCCATACCCTCCTCCCTGAAGGGGGGAGTTCATTAAAGAAGTCCCAGGTGGGCTGTAGGCTTTACAAACATGGGGAAGGTTTTTGCCCACTTTCAAGAGAATTTTCTTTCTTTTTTTTTTTTTAAAGATTTTATTTACTTATTTGAGAGAGCGAGAATGAGAGAGAGAGAGAGAGCACATGAGAAGGGGGAGGGTCAGAGGGAGAAGCAGACTCCCTGCTGAGCAGTGAGCCTGATGCGGGACTCGATCCGGGGACTCCAGGATCATGACCTGAGCCAAAGGCAGTCGCTTAACCAACTGAGCCACCCAGGCGCCCTCAAGAGCATTTTCTGAGAATTCCCTGAAGTTGGCAACTTTCTTCTTTCTGGCTTGCACCCTACATAGAGCTTCTTTAACACTCACCTTTAATGCCATGTTAGTTTTGCCTATTTTTGAAGTTCCTATAAACAAAATCATACAAATATATACTCTTGTATCTAGCTCCTTTTGCTCAACATTTTGGTTGTAAGATCCGTCTTTATTGCTTCACATAGTGTTCATTCATTCATCTTCATTCTTGTGGAATGTTCCATTATATAAATAATCCTCAAAGTATTTATTCATTCTACTGTTGATGGGCAAAATTTGAGTTTTAAGGTTTGGGTTATTATGAATATTGCTATTACAAACATTATGGTACATATCTTTTGATACACAGTTGTACCCATTTCTGTTAGATGTTTACCTAGGAGTAGAATTTCTGGGTATTGGTTTTAATAGATATTGCCCATCTGATTTTCAAAATGATTTTACACTCCCACTAGCAACGTATGAGGGTTTCCTTACAATACTCGGTATTGCCAGTCTTGTTAATCTTAGCCATACTGGCGGGCATGTGGTGATATCTCATTGGGTATTAATATGAATTCCCCTAATGACTGATGAGGTTGAACATTTTTTCTCATTTATTGACCATGTGGATATCTTCAAAAGAAGTACCTATTCAAGTCTCTTCTCCATTTAAAAAAAATCTTTTGTCTTTTTAAATCTTAGGATTTAAAAAATTAAATCTTAGGATTTGTAGGCATTCTTTATATATTCTAGATAGGGGTTCCTTGTGGAATACACACATTGCAAATACCTTCTCCCACTCTGTGTGTTCATTCTCTTAATAGTATGTTTCAATGAATGTAAATTCTGAATTATAATGTAGTTCAATTTATTGATTTTTTTAATGGTTATTGATTTTTGTGCCCTATTTAAAAAAATCTTTCCTGGCCCCAAGGCATTAAAGATATTCATCTATGTTAACTCTAAAATTTCATTGTTTTAACTTTCACATGTAGCTCTACAATCTACCTGGAATTTTTTAAATGTACAGTGTAAGGTAGGGTTAATATTAACTTTTTTCCATATGAATATCCAATTGACCCAGCACCATTTACTGAAAAGACCATTCTTTCTCCACTGTCCTATTGAAAATATCATCTTTCCCTAACATACCTCTGTCATCAATCAAGTGTCCATATATATTGGACACTTGAGTTTTGGATTTTGTTTAAGAAGGACTTCCCCAACCTTAACATGATGAAGACAATCTGAAATAATCTGATGTGTTCTGATTTTAATCTTTCATTCATCTAGAAATTATGAATGTGTATGGTTTGAGGTAGGGATAAATTTTGTCCCTCACTCATTTTTCTCCAGTTAAAGAATAGTCTATCCTTTCTTCACTGTTTTAAAATGCCACCATTTAGATATGCTATTTTATCATATACCAGCTATCCATATACTCATGGGTCAATTTTTCTGATTTTTGCTTTTAATACAGTTCTTTATGTGATTTTGGTGCAGGTGGGCTATCTACTGATTTTAGGGAACCTCTGATTCTAGTGCAGATGTCCATTTGACTTTTGTATACTTCTGAACCAAATATTTTGCCAAATATCACCGAGTCCAGGAATAAGTCCTTTGACACACCTTCAGGAAGTAGCGAATGAATGAATTCATACAAATGAATGGTTCTTTCATAATCAAAAGAATTTCTTAGTAGTTGAATTCAAAAAGTGCCCAGTTCACACCCTAAAGAATTTGACCTCAGGTGCAGGCTGCTTTGTGTTGTTGTCTTCTGCTCTGTTTCTTCTGAACTCCCTCTCAAAAAGGAAAGTCACATTTAAACAAGAATATTCTGCCTTAGTCATCCCCAAAAGATGGAATAATCTAGTACTTAGAAATGGGCTGGTCCACACACAATCATTCTAACAACCTGCCAGGTAGGTCCAAGGTAGGCTAAGCTCTTATCTGAGCTACTGACATTATGAAAGAAGTCAATAAAACTAACTGAATTGTACATTTTAACTAGGTGAATTATATGGCACATGAATTATCTGTCAATAAAGATGTTTAAAAATAGGTGAAATAAGAAAGAGAGAGATTGAGAGCGAGGAAGGCAAGCGTAAATATGCCCCACTTTCCACCCAGCCCACTGCTTCTCTCTGGGACAATCTTCAAAGCCACTCAGTGTTTGACACAGAGGGTGTCAGCCCAATGTATTTGTCTTTCTTCTGGGCTCCTCTAACATTTGTGTTCTTTTTCCATTGCTGTTTGGTTCTTACCCTGTCCTACCCTACCTAACTGTAGTTACTTGAGTACTCGATTTTCTCCTCCAAGAGACAGCAAGGTCCCCCAGGGTGTGAACTCTGCCTTATTTGTCTCTGCATATCTAGCAGCAAACATGTTGTGGGGCTCAGATAGGCTCCCTATGCACATTTTTCCACAGAACTGAATTTCTTCCTGTTGTGTAGTCAAGACAAAGAGTCCAACTGTGCAGAAGCTTGAGGACATGGAGTTTGAATTTCATGTGGACTTTCTTCTGCTTGTGCTCTGCATGATGGAATAGGTAACCCAACCAAATGAGAAAGAGGCCAAGAGCGGAAGGGCTTAGCATCCTACCCGCAATGGACCCAGGACGAATGGATCACTGTCCCTAATAGCAACAGATGAATGAACAGAGAGGGCAATAAAGCATGGAGGCCTCTTCTGCCAGGCCCAGGAAAACCAGTAGACAAGTGGCAGGGAAGAGCTCGTGTGGTGTCCCAGTGAGTTTCTTCTTCTGAGGCTGTGTGCCCATACAATGCCTTAGCTGGCCCTTTCTCTCTTTCCTGCCTGTATCTTTAAAAGTTGTCTCAAGGGTGTCATCCTTTCTTGTTGGAGCCCAGATGTGAGTCTATCTGTCCATATTTGGCACCATTGTTTTTTCTTTCTTATTTAGGCAAGATATTTTTTTCCCTGATTCCAAAAGCAATTAATTTTATTACAAAAAATTGCTAAATAGAGTCTCACTGCAATTACCCAGAGAAAACCAGTTTTTGATGCTTTGTTGTGAATTCTTTGAGAGCATTGTCTATGGATAGTTAAGCATTGGGGTTACGTGATCTATATTTTTTGTCACCTCACATTTCTCACTCATCAGTGAGACAAGGGCATCTTTTTAACCAACATACAGACGTCTGTAGCATTACTGTTAATAGATATACCATAATTGTCTAATAAGTCTCCTCTTAATTGGACACTTAGGTTGTTCCTAACTTTTCACTACTATAAATGATGCTACAGAGGACATCGTTTTAGCTAAACCTTCTGTCACATGCTTAGCATGTCCTTAAGGTCAATTTCTTAGACACAGAGAGCCCAGTTTCCTTCTCATGTCCCCTCCCACAGTGTGGGGAGCGTGAGGGTTTTCCATCTCAGCTCCTGTTTGTTGCTGAATGATTAGACAGGCTTAGTTCGTCAGTATCTTGAGGCACAGGCATAACCAACATCCTCTAATGCTAATGAATTTTGCCTCCCTTCCAAGCTTAGTTTTTAGTGAGCTCTTCCCACCTTCCAAATTTCAGTGATAGATGACTCATATAGGTGGGTCTTCTTTTCTTAATCTCCTTTCTTTGACCTATTTTCAAGACATGTAATTATTGTCTTTCTCATTCCTAGGAATTTTTTGATGTCTGGCCAGTCCTGATGGGGGAGGCTCCACCCTATTCTGGTCCCAGGACTCCGGATGGAAGGGTAGGTCTCTCTCTGGCCTGTATGAGCTAATGTTTATTGAAATACAAATGTAAGGCACTGTAGACCTTGCTGACATTTCTTTTTCACTTAGATATTTATCTTCTCTGGGTTGGGTCATTTCCCTTGAAGGTCTGATAATTGTTCATAATTGCCACACCTTGTAATTTGCAAGGTATTTTTAATATCTTGCTAGAGTTTCAGAGTAACGTGGTGGGATTGACTAAGGAAGAATTAATATTCTCATTCCACAGATAAGGAAAGAGCCCCAGAAAGGTCAAAGCTATCTGCTCAAAGACTCACCCAGCAAATGTTTAGAATTGCAGGCAATTAGAGCTGGAAATAACCTTAATATCTAATTGTATAAATTGATAGCCAGAAGGTCAATTCCAGCCAACAGATAAACCTATTTGGCTGCATACATTTAAAATTGTTTCCTTTTACTTATTTTTTTTAATTTGTAGCTTAACATTAAAAAGTCAAGATATTTCCCATAAATATCAGATTCTCAGTTTCTTTTTTTAAAAGTGGAAGATCAGTCGAAACTGGACCCACAGTCCCACAGGGTAAATATTTTTTTTAAGATTTTATTTTTAAGTAATCCCCATACCCAATGTGAGGCTTAAACTCACAACCCCAAGATCAAGAGTCACACAGTCTGCCGACTGAGCCAGCCAGGCGCTCCAACAGAATGAATTTGGTGGGAGCGAAGTAGCAGCTACCTCCTTAGAACCTGGTCTGAGCTCTCTAGTTTGCCAAAGTCCTCTCCATTCCCCTGGTGTCCCCCTGCCCCCAGCCCCTGCTTTCATTTATGGTTCCTTCAGATCTCTCCAGGCACTAGAGTTTGTGACCTCTGCTTTCATAGCATTGCTTTATTTTATTTTATTTTTATATTATTTTATTAAGATTTTATTCATTTATTTGAGAGAGAGACAGAAAAAAAACATGAGTGGGGGGGCAGAGTGAGAAACAGACTCCCCGCTGACTCAGCTGGCTCCATCCCAGGATCCTGAGATCTGACCTGAACCAAAGGCAGGGGGACACACAGCGCCCCCCATTGCTTTATTTTAAAAGATGAGGCATCAACACCTTAGAGAAGCTGAAATGACAGCTGTGGGGAGGAAAAGATGAGGCGGGGTAATCAGATCTGTCACTCAAACAACCCAGGGAACCTGTAGAATGACTGAATGACCGTACTTGAGGCCACACAGGACAAGTAAGCAGCGGAGTCATGCCCAGAATTGAATTTTAGTCTTGTGTTTGCCCCACAAGATCTTTTAGCCTGTCTGAAATTGTGTGTCAATTTCTGCTAGGAGGCCTCATTCCACCCAGCCAACCCTAACCCAAATTAATGTGTGCGTGCACGCTCACGTGGGTGAATATGTGTGTATGATAGACTTTATTTAGTCTTAATTCAAACTCCAAGAATTCAAAATTAACACCCTTGCCTGTGAGCTTCATGAACACACCAGGAAAGAGTTCACTCTGGAAATCTACATCATCTGCTGTGCTTTATCCATAGTAACTTTTTTACCTGCTCTTGTTCCGCTTCAAACTACTGTTCCACCCCCACAATTCCATGATTTCATTTGGGAAGACCGAGTCTTCAAGCACTGCATCACGTGCTACTGTCAGAAAGCAACCCAGGGACACTTATTTTTAAGCACAGCTTTTCGTGTTGGTCTAGTTGACGTGTTCTCACGGAGCTTTCTCTCCAATTCATGGAAGAGCTGGGTCTGTATCTTCTGGAAATGCAGAAGGAGAAGATCTGTAATAGAGGTCACTGTTGGGTTCAGACACCACCAACTTCAGTTACCTTCAGCTTCCTAGGCTGCTTTTAATATTCAGCTCTCTGAGCGAAGCCCTGAGGTCAGAGGTCATCCATCTCCAACTCCAGGATGGCCAGAGAAATGCTGGGCTCTGAATTATCCGGCTTTTCAAGATGGAGCTGAATGGAACATTTTCTTACTGAGCGCCAGTCCAGGAAATGCTGCCCACCATTTGATTGGTTTCCCTGAGGTGACTAGCGCACTTATGGTTAAGACTGTCCTTTCCAGAAACCTTTCTACATCTCAGGTAGCAAGGGCTCTGTCCTTGCAAGAGTATGAGGCATTAGGTTGTGATGGCGAAGGCCAGAGGGCAAAGGACTTTGGTTTGGGTTGGTTGCTAACCTGTGGGGTGAACTCGATTTTCTCATCTGTCTGAACTCATCTCCAAGGTCAGTTCTAGGTCTAGGACACAGCTAGGGAGGAGACACACATAGGCTTGAGCTGGGGCCCAGACCCAGCATGACAGGATTGGCCCAAAGTGGATCTTTTAGAAAGACTGCGCTCAGAAAGAGCAAGCCTCAGTTCAGATCCCTGCTTTGCCAGCCAGTTATGTGGCCTTGGACAATCTCTCTTAACCTCACCTTCCTCATCTGTAATGCCTGGATAATCAAGATGGCCTGGCCAGGCCGCGGTAGCTAGAGCAAACCACACGCTGACACATAATAGGCAAACAATCATCATGGCTACCAGCGTTGAATCTGATTATCTGCTGGCACTTTACCTGGACAATGTTATTTACTCTTCTCAACAGGTTCATAAAGGAAGTATCCTCATGATTTCCATTTCACGGTTAAGGAGATTGAGGTTACGAGGGGTCAATTCATTTGCACAAATTTAAATGCAGGATGCTTTTCTTTCTGGTAACTCATTACAGTCCTGCTTTTTAGCATTCCCTCTGGCCTTCTAACAGCCTCACACTTTAAGTGCCACATTCACGTGAGAAATACAGCTTTGGTCTGGACTTTGATCAATTAGCCTCTCCAAATTGTGAGTCTAAAGATCACTAACAGCAGCTACACCTCACTTCATCTCCTTTTATTTATTTATTTGACAGAGAGAGAAACAGCAAGAGAGGGAACACAAGCAGGGGGAGTGGGAGAGGGAGAAGCAGGCTTCCCATGGAGCAGGGAGCCCGATGTGGGGCTCGATCCCAGGACCCTGGCACCATGACCTGAGCCGAAGGCAGACGCTTAACAACTGAGTCACCCAGGCGCCCCTCATCTCCTTTTAAAAATAAAACATTGTACATGTGTGTGTTTTCATTATTAAAAGGTTATACAGGCTGATTAGGCTTTGTGGGGAAAAAAAACTGCACTCGTTTAAAAACGGGTATATTTCTGTGCAGGATAATTTTGCTATGGCTGTGTTTTTGGCCCTTTCAAAGCCCCTTGTGTTGTAGCCTCAGCTGCTCAGGTGGAAGGTAACAAAGGAGCTCATTGACGGCTCAGTTTTGACTTTCCAAAGGCTGGTGAATTCTTAACATGAATATGGCCTTGAAGGCAACTGGGCTGAGCTGCAGTGTATGGAAAAGCCCTATTTACCTAAAGTACACTGATTTTTTTGTTGCTTTCTGTGAAAGTAAATTGATTCTCCTGTGGGCTTCAGAAAGAAAAAAAAAATCCATTTCTAACCTTTCTAAAGGAGTCTCATAGAGACCCCTGGAGGTGGAAGCCTGGGGGGGCCCAGGGAGCCAGCAGCTTGTCTCAGGGAGCAGCCCAGACCCAAGGACAGATGACCTAAAACAAAGAGCCGAAGAGGGTCGAGGTCATAGAAGTCGGCCTTCTTTTCCCCACAGAAGGACACTTAGCTCTGCCCAAGTCTCAGCAGATAACGCCGACCGCCACCTTTGCTTTCAGGAACTGCCTACAGGATACAACTTCACTTTCAAAAATGTCCTCAGCACAATTTGTTTACATTTATTGAAAAAGCGATACATGAGCATGTGAAAAGCTCACACTGTACAAAAGGATACACCACAGAAATCCAGCCTCCCCTGAGGCAGCCAGTGGGAGCAGTCTATCCTTCCAGGAACATCTACAGATGCCCAAATATTCCTAGAATTCTACCACCAGCATCAACACCCTCAACAAATGGGATGCTTCTGGTTTGTGCCTTACTTTCCCAGCTTGACGACACTTTGGCACCTTCCTCTGTCAGCACAGATACAGCTACGTTGTTCTGGAGACATGCAGAGCATCCACTGGACGCAGGCACCTGGCAGCCACCCTCCTGGTGACAGCATTACGTTGTCTCCAGACTTCTGAAAGTAGTCTGGCTGAGAGCCCTGGCTGGGGCAAAGGATGCTTTTACCCACATTTAGAAGTGTGTCTCTAGGATTCATGACCACATATGGAATTGCTGGGTCAAAGAAGATATGCATTTTAATCTACGAGGGATATGGCTAACCATCCAACCACAATCTTAGAATCGTAGCTGGGAAGAACTTTGGGGATTATCTAGTTTGGGGATTATCTATTTTCTGATTGTCTTTAGACCCCTCCAGGTCCACAGTGCTTGCCTTGGCCAGACTAACGAGGAAGGTAGAAGGACAGGAAAGGCCGTGAGAGAGAACAAAGAGAGACGCAGGATCTCCATGTGCCCAGCTCTGCCCCATTAGGGCAGCTGAAACAAACACATACCACCGGTTTTCCAGCTGGGGAAACTGAGCCCCCAGGAGTGCACACAGTAAAACCAAGACTAGAGCATGAGTCTTAGTGGCTGCTAGTCAGAAGGAGCAGAGCCTCTGGAACTTGAAGAAAGTCATGATCACCTGCAACCAAATGGATGTTCAGACACCTTTGACTGAATCAGGAGTTTCCCTTTGTGGAGGTTGTGAGTCAGGAGACCAGATGTGGCTCAGGTATCTACATTTACATCTCTAGAGCAGTACTTCTCAAAATACTGCACTCAAGGAACAGCTTTGTTGGTTTGTTTTTTTAACTTATTAATTTATTAATTTATTTTTTAATTTTTTATTGTTATGTTAATCACCATATATTACATCATTAGTATTTGATGTAGTGTTCCATGATTCATTGTTTGTGCATAACACCCAGTGCTCCACGCAGAATGTACCCATCACCAGGCTAACCCATCCCCCCACCCCCCTGGTTTTTTTTTTTATTTCCAATCCACTCTGGACTGATACTTTTCAAAATGGGATCACACTATATAACCAGAAAAATTAAAAATTTCAAAGACATGCAAATTGTAAATCCCCTCCCCTTCTTTATTAGTCTCAACAGACCTAACTTAACTCAGTCAAACGGCTATATTCAAGTTTCTAAACACTGACTCTCAATTTCTGTTTTTATCTCATCATGGAATGGTACCAGATGGTCTGCTGATAGTCCCAGTCCAGGGTCCATGCTTTGAATAGCCCTGTTCTGGGTGAGAGTGATACAGAGAGTAAAACACTGTATTAGGTTAACATAAGGTTAACCTTCAGTAGCGTCACAGAAAGAGCCCTGAGAGTAGGAGTCAAGGGTTTCACTCCTGTCCTGACTCACTGTCTACTATAAAATGAGTCCCTTTCTTCCTCTCTCTGGGTTTCATTTTTCCCATTTGTAAAATGGTTTCTAACCTGTCCATCGCAGCTGGGTGTTCAGAGGATCTAATAAGGTGATGGAATTTTCCCTGGAGAGTTAGGGGAATATCCAGTATCCCACTGCCAATATCCCACTTCATGTTAGGAAGTCATGTAACTGAACAGATCTACTTTAGAGGATGGGAGTTTTAATGGTACAAGGAGGTGGGAGGGATGGAAGAGGTGGAAAGTGAGTTGGGGGGCATGAAGTAAGTTTGGAAGGACAAGTCTGGAAGAGATGACACAGCAATGAGAGCAGCTGAGTGATGGGAGTCAAGGAGAAAGGGGGGCTGGAACCATGGAGCTGAGCCCTGCACGGGTGGCTGAGTTGACCATAACTCTAAATGGACAGGAGTCTCCTTTCCACCTCCCTCTCTCCCTGGACTCCAGAAAGCAGTCTGTCTCTCTTTCTTCTTGCGATCAACCCCCAGCTCCCCTTGGAACACTTCCTATCCCTCTTGCCCAGATCCCAGCCCCTGCCTGGCCACAGTGAGCTGGTTTTGAAGGTTAAGCACACTGAATCACGAGTCAGCTGAGGACAGTGAGCTCCAGAGGCAGCCGGGACACACCCTGAGAGGGCCAGGCTGGTGTTTCTGGAAAACCACAGAGTACTTGGTAAAGAACAAGCCCTGTCTCATGGACACCCTCATGCTGAAGTTCTGTGTCTGGCTCTCATGTTATAGATTTCTTTATTTCTTTTGCCTAGGAAATCAACTTTTACAAGGTCATTGACTACATCCTACATGGCAAAGAAGACATCAAAGTAATCCCGTAAGTTTCTCCTCAAAACAGGTAGAATGGTAAGCATGTTATCGATGTCCATTGATACTCATTCCAAGATCAACACTAAGCAAATCCAAGAGGGCCACACACTTGGTCAGAGACAGGAAGAGCAGTAAGGAGACAGTGTGGAAGAGCAGAAAGACCATACAAGTTGGGAAGAGAGGCTGCATGTTGTTGAGTCAGCTCCTGGGAGTTCTGGTCTCAGGCCTCAGTTCCCCATCTACAGAACGAGACCGTGGGATCTGATTAGGGCTTTCCCGTGGTTTCTGGTGGAGGCACATCTGGGGCCCAGCCAGGGAGGTGAGGCAAAGGCAAGCAGCTGGCGCAAGGAAAGCTCATTCTCTGTTGTCCTCTTCTTCCTGGACCATGGAGGATGGAAAGGAAAGAATTCCCAGAGGGTGAGGCTTCCACCTCCCTGTACGTGGTAAGGACTCAAAGGCCATTTTAAGATTCCAACAGTCAAGAACCTTCTTCAGTAGAAGCTTGTACTTTTTTGTACTTTTTTCTGTCAGAAACCGAGCTGTCTTGTTATCTGAATATTGTTATATGAATACTGTTATTTGAAATCTTCTCTGTGCTAAGAGGCACACTCACAGTTCTGCCTTGAAATCAGCTCACTTTCTGAACTGACTTGCAGACACCTCCAGGCCAAAATCAGACTCTGGGATTTTCCTTCAGTCACCTTAATCTTTAAACAGTGGGTATGAGAGGCCACAATGGGAGTTGATCTTGGTCATTTAGAAATAGACTCGGTTTTGGGGCGCCTGGGTCCTCAGTTGGTTAAGCGACTGCCTTCGGCTCAGGTCATGATCCTGGAGTCCTGGGATCGAGTCCCGCATCAGGCTTCCTGCTCGGCAGGGAGTCTGCTTCTCCCTCTGACCCTCTTCCCTCTCGTGCTCTCTATCTCTCATTCTCTCTCTCTCAAATAAATAAAATCTTTAAAAAAAAAAAAAAGAAATAGACTCGGTTTTGGCTCAGGTTGTGATCTCAGGGTCATGAGACTGAGCCCCGTATGGGGTTCCTTGCTCAGCTCCGAGTCTGCTTAAAACTCTTAAAACTCTCCCTCTCCCTCTCACTCTGCCCCTCCCCTCTGCGCTCTCTCTCTTTCTCAAATAATCTTTTTTTTTTAAGTAACTTGAAGAGATTATATACCATAATGCAGCACTGAAACAGAAAGTTGCTTTGAATGGCACAAAAAGATAGGAAAAGTGTGGAATGTAAAAATCTATTTCTAAATTCTAAATTCTAAAAGACCTCTTTTGATATTAATAAGGTAATAATCCCAAGTGCAAAAAACATTGTGTCACAGATGAACGGGTAGCGTTTTACCTTTCTAGTTACATGTAGGGAATGGTCTATCTAGGAACAGTTGACTTTCTAGGTATGAGGAAATACTGTACATCCTGTTTATAAGAGACCTATCTAAAAGACAAGAATACAAGAGAGGTTGGTGGTAAAAGAATGAAAAAAATATATACCATGCAGACGCTAATAGAAAAAACTAATGTAACTATGTTAATATCAGATATCAGATAAAACTGGATAATACAACAAAGAGCACAAGTGGAGATAGAGTCAATTCTTAATGATTAAGGGGTTAACTCACCTGGCCATGACCGGAAGCTATTACAATTCTAAATCTGTATACGCTTCATAACATGGCCTCAAAAAAAAGCGAAAGGGGACAGCAATATAAGAAGATATAGGCAGATCCATGTTTGCTAATTGATAGGAGGAGCAGACTAAAACATAATACAGAATATTTAAATAACACAGTTAAACTTAACTGGATGGATACAGAGAGAACACAGTACTCCAACCCCAAAACCAGAGGACACTCAGTCTTTTCAAGCATACGTGTGACATTTATAATAACTGGTGATAAATGGGCCACAAAGTAAACTTCATATATTTCAAAAGACTGAAATAATACATAGAATGTCCCCTGGTCACAACGAAAAAATCCTAGAAACCAATAACAAAAAACTAATTAGGACAGTCTTTATATGCAACGAGAAACTAGAAGGCCAGGAGCCCTGTGGATGTAGTCCATACAGATTGGCCTCCTGGCACAGGGAGGGGAGGGTTCAAGAGTGGATCCGGAGGGACAGACAGGAGCTGTCTATCACATCATCTCAAGAAATTAACAACAAGGGGCGCCTGGGTGGCTCAGTCATTAAGTGTCTGCCTTCGGCTCAGGTCATGATCCCAGAGTCCTGGGATCGAGCCCCGCATCGGGCTCCCTGCTCCATGGGAAGCCTGCTTCTTCCTCTCCCACACCCCCTGCTTGTGTTCCCTCTCTGGATGTGTCTCTCTCTGTCAAAAAATAAATAAAAATATTAAAAAAAAAGAAATTAACAACAAACCAGCAAAAAAATGAGCCCAAAGAATAAACATAAGCCCAGAAATTAATAACATAAAAAGACAAATGAACGATTCATGAAGATCTTAATGTATCTTTCCACATTTATATCTTTTCTCACAACAAAAAAGTATAATCTTACAATAAATAAAAGATAATAATACCAAAAATTATAATATTGTCGTGAGGGATAAATGAATACATAGAGCACCCAGCTTAGTGCTCGGTGCATGGCAGGAGTTCACCGTACATGAGTTCCCTCAGTCTCTCTGTGGAATTAAGCTACCTCTCGCTGGGTATTAATGGAGGGAAAAGATGGTGGCGGCTTTTGTTCAGCAATCGAAGTTGTCCCTTTTCTTGGATAATCACACTCAGTGTGCCATCATAAAATGTATCCATCATGCTTTTTTTCCATGTCTAAATTTGAAACATGAAGATGCTTAGACAAGGTTTGGGGCTCATTCAGGCATAGGGGATGTAAGCAGGAGTTGAGAGTCATGAGAGAGTAGAGAGGGGCAAAGACCCAGATTCAAGGTTTTAGTCCAACTGTCCCTACATCAAAAGTTACCAGTTGTCTTTGGCCTTTACAGGAATCCACCTCCTGATCACTGGGCTTTAGTAAGTGGTCTGCCCACCTATGTTGCCCAGAATGGCCTGGTAAGTAACACAACTTGGAAGGGGGAGAGTCTTGAATCAGTCGGAAGAGTGAAAGGATTTCAGATCGAGACAGTGGGAAACACGATGGGGAGTGTGGGGCTCTCAAAGCCTGACTCTCATTTCTCAACTCACTTGACACTTGGTCCGAGGACATGAACAGAGAATTGACGTCTGAGGAAATATGAAATACACAGAGAAATAATCCTTAGATGGGAAGGTGCTTGGTCTCACTGACAAGAAAGACACTTGCTCGTGTGTCAGGGACAAAAGCATATGGCAGACTGGTCTCCCAGGCTCACCATGGACCCAGTCCCAGCCTCGCATTCCAGAGACTCAGTTGCCACTCTTTACCCCTCATCCCTGCCATATTTCCAGCTGTACAATGTACAGCAGAGTTCAAATGCTCCATCTCCCACCACGCCCCACCCACTTGGGGTCAAAAATGGAGTAAGCATCCCCTGCCCTAGAGAGAAAGGTCTTGTCTATTAGCTGCACATCACCCCCATATTTGAGCCCGGTCACCCCCTTTATCCTTCCCCAGGCACACACTACTCAATGCTGCTCACGTAGCAAGAAGTTTATATATTGAATATTTTCTAGGTACCAGGCACTGTCATTGGCTTTGGGGATAGACAGATAGATGTACCAGGTACAGCTTCTGTTCCGAAGCTCATAATTGAATGGGGAACGATCTTAAACAGATTCTTATATACAATGTGATGAGGACACAAGAGAGATATACTGGGTATATTCTAGGAACCCAGAGTAGGAGGCATATAAACCAGGCTTTTCTTCCTAGAGTGTTAGTCTGAGTGGTTTTAAAATAAGTAGGTGTTAGGCAGGCAGGAACAGGAAAGGGGATTCAAGATGAAGGCAACAACTTGAGCAAACCCAGGCCTGGAGTTCTGACTGGCATGGTGTGTGCAGTCCAGTGTGGCCGGAATATTAGGTCTGAGAGAGGAAGAGGTCCAGAGATGAGGCTTGAGGGGGAGGGGAGCGCCAGATAGCAGTGGCCTTGGATGCCAGGTCGCGGGGGCGCAACGTTAATCTGTAGACAATGAGCTTTTACGCAAGAGGTTGGCATAGCCAATTTTCATTTTCAAAACATAACTCTGAGAGATCTGAAGGGATTAAGAGGCAGAGCACAAAGTACATCCTTACCAGCAAGAGAAGAGGAGCGTCTCAACAAGGGCAGACAGTGAAGAGTCCCAGCATGGCCCACAGCCATTGAGTGCCTAGGAGCCACGCAGTAAATAAATTTGCTCGTTTGATACTCACACAAGTCTGACAGAGACAAGATGGAGAGAGGGAGATCAGGGATCAGATCTCATACCAGGAGGGTAAAACTGGCAGGACTTTGTGATTGTGAGCAGAGAGGGAGGGAGAAAGAAGGGTCAGAGCCAATTTCGGGCTTCTGGGTTGGATGAGTAGTGCTGCCATCAGGTTTGGATAGAAGATGAGGAGGTCAGTTTCAGACAAGGTGACACTGAGACATTTTTTTGGTAGCAAATGTCCAGTAGGCAGCTGAAGCGATGACTCTGAAGCTGTGGGAGAGAGGAGGGACGGAGATGGGGATGTGGAAGACATCAGGACCAGATGGTACTTGAGACCATGTGTGTGAATGAAGTCACCAGGGAGAGTGAGAGGGGCCTGGGGTGGGATATTGTTGGATGCCAGCATTTAAAGATTAGGTGGAGAAAGAGGAGTGTGTGAGGGAGGATCAGAAGGAGGGCTCAGAGGTATCTGGAGATCTGGGAGTGAGTAGTGTCATGGAAACCGGGGAAGTAGAGAGATGGCCAAATGCAGCAAAAATGATCTAGCGAGATAAGAACTGAAAACCCTATTGAGTTTGGCAGTTAGATCACTGGTGGCCCCGATAGGTGCATATTTGGTGGTGAGGTGGAGGTGGGGACCCGCATGTGGTCTGCCGAGGTGTGGATGGGTAATGAGGAGGTAGAGAATCGCAAAAGAAAAGAACGGGAGAAAGCCTGGATGGTTGCTACTGGGACTATGTTTGGGTCGAGGGAGGATTTCATTTTCCAGGATGGGAGAGACTCAAGCAAGCTCATGGATGAAGGGAAAGAGCCCTCGGAGAGGTCAGAGATCAGGAGGGAACAATGGCAACTGATGGAATTGGTCTAAAGAGAGGCCAGTTCTGGAACAGGAGTGGAGACAGCTCACCCTCTGAGACCACAGGATGGTCAGGGCCAGTGGGTCTGGCTGGGTTACTTCAAGCTCATATTGGTGCCTTTTTGAGAACTAGAAAATAGTACCCCTTCAGTGGACGAAAAGAGAAAGACGAGGAGCATGGCTCTGCAAACAGGCTGAGTCAAGAATAGGCTGGATTTCAGCTCCCAGTCAGCCCTTCAGTGAGATGTTTTTGTGCAGTACACACACTATGCAACGGTACAGAGAGGTCCCATGGGCAGGCCTCTGGAGTGATCAGGTAAGTCCCATATGTATGGTAGGGTAAACTGGTTCAGTTTTTAGGAGAGGAGTCTGGCAACGTAAAACCAGAGCTATCACACTTTTTATTTCTCATTCTACTTTGGGGTTTATGCCCCAAGAAAAAAACTCTTTCTTTACAAAACAAACAATACCAAACCTAAGTGTAATTGATTTAAAGATGCTTAGAGTGGCATTATTTACACTAATAATGACAAAAATTGGATACAACTCAAATGTTTAACAAAAGAGAAACAATACAATGAGATACAATACGGCTATTGAAAATGACAAACTGTAGCCTCAATTTTTCCAAAGCTTGGAAATGACTAAGGAGTGAAGCAAATGGCAAGAAATAATGTTTATAAGGTAGCTTTTCTGTTCAGTGGCCTCAGTTAATCATTGAAAGCCATCTAGAGCATGTCTACCTGAGGAAAAGAATGTGAACGCCTTGGGCAAGTACGTAGTGTTTCTGAAGATAGCACGCAGGGCTCACTGGGTATGCTATCGAGTCTAATCACGGCTCCATTATTCCTCTTCATGGCTTTCAGATTTGCAACATCATGAATGCGCCTGCGGAGGACTTTTTTGCATTCCAGGTAAGTCACTATTTGTTTGGTCTCTTAGTCATCTGATTTTTTTTTCCCCTAAAGAGGGTTCGAATACATTAAAATCCATCTATTGATTGGGAAGCAGTCTCAACAAAGTAAAAATACGGATGGAAAAAAATCATGTGCCCATGGAAGTGGGGCGGGAATGACTTTGGTAAATTCCAAGGTTTCATTTGGTTTTAATGTTCACACGCTTTGCTTTCTGGCCTCCGGACCTTTGCTTGTGTTGTTCCCCTGCCCCGGAACCATCCTGTCCTGCCCAAATACTCTCTGCCCTTCAGTACAACCTCAAATGCTCTGAAACTTCTATGAAGTTTTATTCTGTTTCCTCTGGCTAATATCATTTCTGTCTCTTTGGGATTTTCATGGAATACTGTTTAGCACTCCATTTGATTTTATCTGTCTTTTTCACAAATGTTTATGGAGGGCGTTGTCTGTGCCAGGATTTGACACAGGGCTACACTGGCCGCAACGGTGGACCAGACAGACATGGTCTTTATCTCCAGGGGGGCTCATGATTGCATGGGGAGAAAGGCCATGGAGTGCTGGCCAGAGGACAGAAGGATAGAGGAGGGAATCTTTCTGGGGACCTGACTTAATCTGGAAGGAATCAAGGAATGTCCCTGAGCAATTATGTTGGGGCAGCAAAGAAAGGAGAGAAGACTACAGGAAAGAGAGAGCTTGTTGGAAGGACCTAGAGTAGCCCAATGAATCCGAGGGAGAGAGAGCATGGAGAGTGGCAGGAGGAGATTCTAGAGAAGTAAACCAAAGCCAGATGACACATGGTGAGGACAGATGACACATGGCCTGGAGTTCTCCATACTATATTCCCCTTACTTTATCTTTTATTACCTTTCTTTGCTTTCAGATTAATTCCTCTCAGCAGAATATCAGCTTCCTTTGGTCAACGGTTGGGCCTTATCTTTCCTAATATTTTCAGTTCCAGGTGGCCTATGGATATTTGTTGAGGTTAGCCCGCCAGATGGAAGAAAAACAAAGCATTAGCAATCAGGAAATAATTAAGAAGAAAATAAAAATGATTCTTAGAAAAATTAGTGAATTATTTTTTTACTCTTTGAGGAACATCATGAAAGAACTTAGCAAGGATATCCTTCCAAAGTTAAAGTTGTATGTCTTGTGTTGGGATTTTGATCGTATCCGTGTGACGAGCTCGAATGGTTGCTGAGAGTGGCTAACCTGATTATAACGGTACAGAACTTGGTCCCTACCCAATTAATTCCATTTACCCACACTAAAAAAATCAAATCTGATCTTGTTTTTGGATTCTAGACTTCTTCCTCCAACTCATCCTCTACAAAGTAGCCTGAGTAATTTTTCGAAACTCAGGCTGCATCAAGTAACTTCTCTGCTTAAAAATCATTAATGCTTTCTTGTTTGGCTTTCAATAAAACCTGTCTCCTTATCATGGCCTTCAGAAGGAAGGTGTTTCCCGAAGTTTAGGTAGAGACTTGAGGGGAAGGCAGAGCTGGAACTCATGTCTCCTGACCAATAGCCCCTTGCTCTTTGGGCTGTAATCTGCATCCTCCTGGAGTCACTTTCCCACCAGGTGCTGACTTCCAGTGTTACTGAAATCATCATTGTCATCATCATCACCATCTCACCACCTTAAGAATCTTAGAACTTTGGGATTGGAAGACTCTCCAAGTACAGGAAGACTTCCTTGACTTCCTTCCCTCCTCTGGCTCCCCCAGAACCATAAGAAACTCCCCACCTGCTGTGCAGTTGCTCGCTTACCATCCAGATTATGAGCAACCTGAGGATAACTTTTGTGCCTCATTTGCCTTGGTTTTTTCGATTTCTAGCTCAGTTAAATGTTTAATATTTTATGAATTCATGAGAAAAGAGTCTAGAAATGACCTAGCCCAGTCTTTCCCATGTTATAAGTGATAAAAGGGAGAGGCTTAGACAGAGGGGGAAATGACTCACAAAGGGCACCTTACGACTGACCGAGAGACTTCAGCTCCCCTGTCTCATTCGTTCCGTGAGCCAGAGATTCTTGCTACCATCCCCATCTACAGATGAGACAGTTGAGGCCCACTGAGATAAAATGACAGGCCAAAAGTAACCCAGGAAGTCACGTCAAGAGTCAAGACACAGGGCGCCTGGGTGGCTCAGATGGTTAACCGTCTGCCTTTGGCTCAGGTCATGATTCCGGGGTCCTGGGATCGAGTCCTGCATCAGGCTCCCTGCTTCTCCCTCTGCCTCTCTCTCTGTCTCTTATGAATAAATAAATAAAATCTTAAAAAAAAAAAAGAGTCAAGAGACAAACAAACAAGATCTTTAATGATGGCTTTGTTAAGCCCTTTCCAGCACCTGGTAGCTTGTGGGAGACACCGTGAATTAGACTCTGAACGATCAGAAGCAGGTGATACACTCCAGATTACCTTAACCTCTTCTCAGAGCAGGCAGGTGAAAAACAAAGCACAGAGCCCATCATTAAGCCACAGGTTTTGTTGACATAGCCACAGTCTGCTTTGTTTACCACCTACCCACAGACCCTAGTTGTTTTGCAGTTTTCATTTTATAGATATTACCTGGAAAGCACAGGCACTTTTTAAATAGGCTTAAATAGCTGGCGTGGCAGAAAGTCTGAAAGTTCTGACGCACAGAGGCTCATGAACTGTATGGTATTTAAACTCATCGGAACCCCTCTGCTCCCCCTCTGTTGTTGCATATGTTGTTGATAACGAGCAGACAGAATTATTGTTCCCTTGTCCTTTTCTGACTGCTATTTCTAGGGCGAGTTCTGGCCAGATTTCTGAATGAAAGGTCTTCCCGAACAGTAACAGATTTATAAACCTACTCTGGCTTCTCTTGTAGAAAGAGCCTCTGGATGAGTCTGGATGGATGATTAAGAATGTCCTTTCTATGCCAATTGTGAACAAGAAGGAAGAAATTGTTGGGGTGGCCACGTTTTACAATCGCAAAGATGGGAAGCCCTTTGATGAGATGGACGAGACCCTCATGGAGGTACGGTTTGGGAGGAGGCCTTTGCCATTGGGTTGCAGCGTTGGCTTGTTGCCAGCATGTGGGAGGCCCTCACTTGGGAAGGGGTGGGAGCTCACCTTTTCGAAGCAACTCTGACTCAGCCTCAACGTCCGCTCTCTTTGCTCCCACTTCTGCACTACCGTGTGCTGTCAGAGAAATCCACATTCCCTTTGAAACAAATTTTAATTAATAAACTTCACCTTTTAGCATTTTTAGGATCATGGCAAAAATGAGCAGAAAGTGCAGTGTTCTCATATGCCTCCTGTTCCCACATGGGTACACACACTTGGGTGAAGTTATTGCAGCTAAGAATGATGCTTTATGTGTGTTGGAACTTTATTTTAAAGTGCATTCCCATCCATTGTTTGATCTTCATCCTCACACCATCTCTTCAAGGAGGGCAACATCCAGCTGATCAAACCCATCATACAGTTGAGGAAATGGAATCCTAGAGTCTTGCCCTAAGTTGCAGAGACAGGATCAAGCCTGGATGTTCTGCCTCTGGTTCTTCTTTTCTTTCCTTTCAGTCTTTGACTCAATTCCTGGGCTGGTCCGTCTTAAACCCTGACACCTATGAGTCAATGAACAGACTTGAAAACAGGAAGGATATTTTCCAGGACATGGTAAAATACCACGTGAAGTGTGACAATGAAGAAATCCAGAAAATCCTGGTGGGTAAAGTTCTTTTATTGTTTCTGCTCTAGCAGAAACACCCTCGGTATGTGGCCAGAGCAATACTCAAGCTCTATGAAGGCAGAGATGGGTGGGCTGGCCTTGCACAGGGATGTCCCGGGCACCCTCACATTCAACGGATGGATGGATGGCTCCATGAGTACCAGCAACTCATACATAATGGCTGATCTGTGTGGCTTGGTGACAACTGTCCTTTGCATGCTGGCCTCAGTCTTAGGGCCAGATCTTGGCTTAACAGCTCTGGAAACTCCATTTTTCACTGTGCTGAGGGCTGACTTGGTAGTAGAGATGGAGTCACCCAACCACAGCACCTACTCTGAAAGGAAGCTCTCTCTGACAGCCCATTGGACAATGGTCAGTTTCTCAGAGACTCCCTCCATGGGGCCAGCTCACTCAGAAACCCAATCAGATCACAGAGGGGTTTGGTGAGCAAAGAAGTATGACAGAAGGAGTTAGATGTTAGTAGGGAGTCCTCACATAGCTTCATCACTTTACAGTTTATAAGGCAATTTCACACTTAGTATATTGTTTGATGCTCACAACAGCACACTAAGGTGGGCAGGGTGTTTCTATCCCTATTGTAGATATGAAGAAACCGAGGTCCAGAAGGGGGAAGTACCTTGTCCCCTAATCACCCAGCTCATTAAACAGTTCTCATTTAACCTATATCAGGATAATGAGCAAATTCTCTACTATTCTTACGAATGGGGGCTGCCACATGGGGTAGTGAGCACACTGTCAAGAGAGGTATCCAAGTAGAGGCTGGATGATCATTTATTAGGGATGCTATAGAAGAGAGTCCTACCTGGGGTAGGAAACTAGATGAGGTACTTTGAAAGATATATGGTGATTAGTGACTCATCATTCCTGGGATTTTGTTCTCAAAGAGATCATGATCTTAGAAGTCAATTGAGTTAACCAAATGGCATTGGATAAGATGCCCAGCTGAGCTCCCAAGACCTTGCTTATAGATCTCACAAGTTGAAACAATACAGGCCAATGTTTTCAGAAGTGATTTCTTAAGCTGGGAAGATATCACAACAAATTTGATCATTTCATCCCAATCACTGATAAATTCAAAGGAGGAATCATCTAGTTTGGATGAATTGACTCACGGTTTGCTTGTCTCAGTCCACGATTTCAGCCAAATGATGGCTATGTGGGCCCTCTGGCAGCATAGCCTCAGGCAACCAGTGAAAAGTGAAGAGACTATGCTCTGGGTCAAGAAATCAGAAGCAAGAAACTGGGTCCAGGTCCCCCCTCCTCTGGCACATGCATGGTGAAATAGGCCCGGGGAGGGAAGAAACTTGCCCCAAGTCACATAGTAAGTGAGATGAAGAGCCAGGACCATGAGCAAGACCTTCTGACTCCAGTCAGTAATAGAAACAATAAGAATATCAGCAACATTATTTAATTCTAGTGTTTGCTATGTGCCAAGCACTGCACTGAGGGACTTACGTGCATTATTTCATCTAGCTGTATACATGTTTTTTCAAAATGACTTGGCATAAATCTAATCTTAATTCACCAGTTAAATACTTTTATTATCCCCATTTTACAGGTGAGGAAATGGAGGATCGAAGGCGTTAAGCAGCTCTGTTTGTAAGTGGCAGAGCTGAACTTGCAGCCAGGTCCCCACGGTCGGAAGCCCAGGACTTTGATTTTGCCCATCAATGAATGGTGAAGGGCAGCTTCTCTGAATTGGCGGCCCCCGCTGCAAGCACTTTGGAGGAAGGAGGAGAATGGAAATGGAAAAGTGGAGCCATATTTAGACCTCAGATGTAGTAACCAATTTTTTTTTTTCTCCCTCTCTGCTATTTTGGGCGCTGGCAGAAAACCAGAGAGGTGTACGGGAAGGAGCCGTGGGAATGTGAGGAAGAGGAACTCGCTGAGATCCTGGTGAGCGGGGCAGAACCTCGCAGGGTGCGTCCTGAGCATGCGCAGGGCAGGGGGCTGCCTCTGCAAAGCACGCCCCTTGCCACCCTGCTCTGATCCTCCGGGCACAGCTGGGATGGGGCCAGGGCTGGGGGCTGCCGGGGGAGGGGCCCACGAACGCTTCAGATGCTTCCAACCCCTGGACGCCCCTCCTCACACAGCAAGGAGAGCTGCCAGATGCAGAGAAGTACGAAATCAATAAGTTCCACTTCAGCGACTTGCCCCTCACGGAACTGGAGCTGGTGAAATGTGGGATACAGATGTACTATGAGCTCAGAGTGGTGGACAAATTTCACATTCCTCAGGAGGTAAGGTCAAAATAAACCTCTTCCGTTTCCTTTTCTCTTCTTGCTTGCTTCCTTTTATTAACTCAATCTGTAAACTGCACCCTCAGCTTTGAGGCTATAAAGCATTAGTCATGTTGCACAGGTGAGTCAATTATCAGAAAAGAGACACCCAGTTCCTCTGAACTGTGGTGTTCTGGGCGCATTGGATTCTCAAGGTGGCTTGTGAGGCACTGAGTTGCCAAGGCATAAATGGGAACTAGTAGCGAAACAAGGGTGGGAATTGTGGGTCAGTTTAGACAGCACTTTTCCCCGGCAGGATTCCTTACAGCGTACTGTGAATCTAGGGGCCTGGGGACGGACAACGGGGAAGGGGGGGCTGGGGTGGGGGTTAAGCTCAGAATTTCCCAGACTTGTTTGCTTAAAGCAGCGGTTCTCCAAGTGCTGCCCCAAACCACATCAGCACTAGCTGCGAATGTATCAGAAGCACAAAGTCACCGTTGTGCGCGCGTGCGCGCACACACACACATTCTCCCAGCGCTAATGAATCAGAAAGTGGGTGTTTTAACAAGCCCTCCGGGTGATTCTGATGGGCACTCACATTGGAGAACCACTGACTTCAAGACCCCTTTTGTTTTCCTCCCCGGTGGCTCTCCGGGCCGAGTTTGGGAAACACCGATGACGCTCCATTAGCGGAGTTAGTGGAGGGACTCACATGCACCTGGTTTCCCAAACATCGTCCATTTTCCTAGTATTTAGCTGTTTGCAAAGGACTCTCCCAGCGTTCCCGCAGCTGTTGCCCGCCCGCTCGGCCCCCGTGGGGGGGGGGGGTTGGGGGTGGTAGGACCTCCCTAAGGACGCAGGGCCCCAGGCCTCACTCCGGTGCCCGTGTTCGCAGGCCCTGGTGCGGTTCATGTACTCGCTGAGTAAGGGCTACCGCAGGATCACCTACCACAACTGGCGGCACGGCTTCAACGTGGGGCAGACCATGTTCTCCTTGCTGGTGGTACGGCGGGGGACCGCGGCGCGGGGCTCCGGCCACACCAGATGACCTCCGCACCAACGCCCGGAAGCAGACGCTTTGCTCTGTTTTTGGTGCTTTAAAAAAAAAAAAAAAAAAAGGGCGCGAGAGGAGTACACGCTTAGCCTACGTGAATTCCGAGCAGAGGGAGTTGTATAAAATAAAAAGTGAAGGAAAGCTGCAGGCTGCCCGCAATCCCAGTGCGGTTATTTAGAGATAACCATGGCACAACTTCCAAATCCTCTTCTAGAAGCATCGAGACCTATTTTTACACACGCAGACACACAGAGTGTGTGTCTGTTTATATCCAGCTGAATAGTTATATCCTATAACATGTTTCTTCATTTGAAAAACTATACCACTCACATTCTCCATATATTTAATTTTTGATTGTGGTTAAATATACATCACAGAAAACTCCCCGTTTTAACCGTTTTTAGGTGTATGGTTCAGTCAGGGGTATTAAGTACGTTCACCATGTTGTGCCACCATCACTGCTATCCGCCCCTAGAACTTTTTCATCTTCCCCAATAGAAACTCTGTCCCCATCAAACAACTCCCCTTTCCCCTCTGTCCAGCCCTGGTGACCACTTTCTCCTTTCTGTCTCTATGAATTTGACTACCCTAAGTACCTCATGTACCCTAAGTATCTCGGACAGTATCAGCCCTTCCGTGTCTGACTTCTTTCACTCAGCATGATGCTTTCGAGGCTTATCCATGATTATCATGTTATGGCCGCATAGTATTCTGGATTGTCCGAATACACCATGATATCTTTGCCAAGCCCCCTACTGTTAGACACAGGGCTCGTTGTCGATCTTTCGCTGTTAACAAACACTGCCACGGTGTCCTTGGATGGATATACCCATGTGTATTTGTGTCAGTCTTTTCAGCTCAGAGGGTTCAGAGATTCGTATTTCATGTAAAAGTGTTTCCCATCCAGATTATGATGCAAGTCTCTGGCCTTGTCCAGCCCCCCTCCTCCTCAGGTCTTCCCTCATGGCTGGAATGGTGGGGCGGGATGGGCACTAGGGCCTCAAGGCAGGAATTCTGGCCAGGCCACCACAGAAGAGACAGTGACACCGCTGAGACTTGATTTATTTCTTAGAGTCACGGAGTCAGCATCACCTCTCCAGAGCTCTTCCCCAACCCATTCTCCAACACCCAGCATAAACTAGAAGTATTTGAAGGAGGTTCAGGGAAAGATTCTTCTGGGCTGTGCTTAAACCAGTGGAGGGTCTGTTTTGCCAGTCTGGGCATGTTCAAAAGCCCTCCAGATCCTAAAACCTGACAGCTGCAATTTCTCAACCATCGTCTAGTCCAGTGCCCTCTACCTCCAGTGAGCAGATTGGGATACTGAGGCCCAGAGGGAGACCGTACCAGTTAAGATCGCTCAGGACTAGGGTGACCAATCATCCCCGTTTGCCCGGGACTGTTCCACTTCTAGTATGGAAAGTCCCATATCCTTGAAAAAACCCCCAGTCCCAGACAAACATCTGGTCAAACTATTGTGCCAGGGACAGAGCCAAGGTCAGACCTGTGTTCCCAAGCTCCAGGCCTCCCCCTCACATCTGCTCTGCTTCCGACCCCTGTAAGGAAGGAGTGAGTGGCACCTCTGATTGCTCTTCCAGACCGGAAAGCTGAAGCGATACTTCACGGACCTAGAGGCCTTGGCCATGGTCACCGCTGCCTTCTGCCATGACATTGACCACAGAGGCACCAACAACCTCTACCAGATGAAGTGAGTCGGCCCTCACTGTCCCCCCATCTGCCTCCCGCTCCCAGGGATTCATTACCCAGATCTGAAAGGCTCTCAGGCAGATTTACTGGCCAAGGGAAAGTCCCACAGTCCACAGCTTCCTACTTCCTCCTGCCCTGTGGGTCTGGGTAAACTCCAGTGACAGACAGAATAATGACCCCCAAATATGTACATGCCGCCATGCCTAGACCCTGGGAATATGTGGCCTTATATTCAAAAGGGACTTCAAAGATGTGATTAAAGATCTTGCAATATAGGGATTATCCTGGGTTATCCACGTGGGCCCCATGTAGTTAGAAGTGTCCTTCTAAGAAGGAGGCAAGAGGTTAGAGAGGAGAGAGGATGCTGCACCATTGGGTTTGAAGATGAAGGCTGGGCTACGAGCCAAGGATGGTAGGCGGCCTCTAGAAGCTAGGAAAGCAAGGGAACCGATTGTCCCCTAGAGCCTCCAGAAGGAAAGCAGCTCTGTGGACCCATTTTAGACTCTGAACTCCAGAGCTATAAGATAATAAATCTTAACTGTTTTAAGCTATTAAGTTTGTGGTAATTTGCTATGGCAGCAATATATGAGACTCCCTCCCTCTCTTCCTTCCTACCTGCTGAATGAATTTAAGCCAAATGTTAGTAACCGACACTGGCTCACTCATACACCTTGTATTTGTAATGCTCCTAATATAAGTGTGGTAGGTCCTGTGCTAGACAAAGGAGGTACCATGGTAGCAGACACAGTCCCTGTCCTCACACAGCTTACATTCCAGACAGCCTCTGAAACATGGTCCTTGCACCATGGTCTTGGTGGACCTTCATAACCACCTTGTAGGCTGGGTAGAGCAGGGACTAGTGTTGTACTCATGTTATGGAGGAGGAAACTGAGGCTCTGCCCAGGGCCCACAGCCAATAAGTCATAAACAAGCCCTAGAACATGCTGCTCTGAGGCTAGAGGTCATGTTTACACTTTACCTTATGGGAAGCTAAGTATTGAGCTCAGTGCTTGGCACACAGTAAGTGCTCAACAAATATTTATTGAATAAAGACATGAATAGACACACCACTTGTGGGAATTCAGTAGCTTCTCCTGAGACTCAAGTATTGCATCAAGGGCTTGTGATCCTTAAAGTATGGCCCAGGGCCAATGTCCATGAATGAGTACAGGGAACCCAGAAATCTCTAAAATTGCCTATCACGTTGTATGTGGGTGTGCCTTTGGGGCACACGCTATTCAGCGGCCTCTCTGAGGAGTCCAATGAGCCCAGAGAGGCTCAGAATCAACTGTGGAGAAAGCTAAAGCCTGAGAGTCAGGAGACCTGATGTCTAGTCTTCTTTCCCACTATCTCACTGTGTGACAAGCTCCTTCTTAGTGCTGGCCGTCAGCCTCTCTGCCTGCAGAATTAGGAGGCGGCAGGACTGGATGACATCTTTAAGCTCCCTCTTGGCAACTCCATACTGATTGTGTGTATGTGTGTGTGTGTGTGTGTGTGTTTCTCCCATTCAGATCCCAGAACCCACTGGCCAAGCTCCATGGGTCCTCCATCTTGGAAAGACACCACTTGGAGTTCGGCAAAACATTGCTGAGAGATGAGGTAGGGTGGGTGGAGGGCCCTCCGCATTGCCGGCTGGGAGACCCCATCTCACAAGAAGCCTGAGTGTGGCCGGGCAGCACTCTTCCCATTGGCCTGGGCTGCCTCTCCCACCATAGGGGGTCACCATCGGTCGTTGGGTGACTACCCTGCCAGCATCACTTCTCACATCTCTTCTATGGTTTTCTCTTTAGAGCCTGAATATCTTCCAAAATCTCAATCGCAGACAGCATGAGCATGCAATCCACATGATGGATATAGCAATCATTGCCACAGACCTCGCCCTGTATTTCAAGTTGGTATTTCTTTTCATTTTAAGAACAAGAATAACAATAACAATGACTATAATAATAAACACCATAGATCCAATTGATTTAATATGTTCTATGTGCCAGGCACAGCTCTTGTGCTATGAAACAGTAACTCTCACTACAGTCCTGGGAGTTAGATATTCTCACTCCCACTGTATCCATGAGACCCTGAAATCCAGGGGGAAAGATTGGCTAAGTAAGACCCGGTAATACATTGGTGACAGAGTCTGGGTTAGGACCTAGGTCTTCACTCCTGGGCCTTGGTTCTTTCCGCCTTGTTTTGTTAATTATATTGTTTTCAGAAGCCCCTGTCTGAAACAGCCAATGTTAGAAGCCCCGGGGTTTGCCTTGTTCTAAGACAAGCTCCTTTAACGAACTGGTGTGTTTTGCAGGAAGAGAACAATGTTCCAAAAGATTGTGGATCAGTCTAAGACGTATGAAACCCAACAGGAGTGGACGCAGTACATGATGCTGGAGCAGACACGGAAGGAGATTGTTATGTGAGTAAGACAGGGCTTACCCCCTGATTTTTCTAAGCCGGGGGTCCCTGAGGTGAGATGCTGCACTGACAGGCCTTGCTGTCCTAAGGAGAGCCCTGGGACACTTGCCATTTTGGAGGCTGCCAACATCGGAAAACAACGAGGTTATGCCCAAATGGAATTGCAGAAACTATGGTCTATGTTTAGTTTTTATTTTAACACTAAAATACAAGATAATATTGTTTTATTTCTCTGGATACAAAAAGCACTGTCCTTGAAGTATTTCTATCTTAAGATTCAGAATTTGGGTGGTAAAGTGATATGACTTTAAAGGTTTTGATAAAACACAGAGCATTACACCCGGTATGATTTGAGTGATACCTATGTGTCACTCACAATTTGTAGGCTTAATTTTTTTTAGCATTCCTTTATATGTGGCAATGTCCTACGATATAGCTCTGCTATTCACAAATCAGGTACGTGATTTATATTAAGTTTCTAGTGCCTTGCTGGCATGAGGTCTGGTAATGGGACTCACATTTAAGTTTTTAATGAATATCTTCTTTCACTTGCCTCAGTGTGTACCTCTGTGATTCACCTCAAATGATGATGGGGTGAGAAGTGTAAATTTGAGGCCTTTTGTGACTAGGTGGCCCAAGCCAAATGGTCTCCTGGCTCCCATGTGATGAGTCCCAGGTATCAACGGTCAGGGAAGAGAAGGCTTGACCCCATTCCCAAGGAAGTTATCAGGTTTTATCTCCAGATGCTTCTGTGGAGATGAGGCGTGATTGAACCACAAATGTTGCAAGTCTCTGCAACGGAGAAGAGATGGCTGCCGGGACAGGCTCCGGGAAGAGGGGCAAATGGCAAGCTGCCCTTCCCTCAGCCTTGCGGTTGTCCAACCAGGCGGAGCCCCTGATCTTGAGGAGCTGTGCGACCCGCCCCCACTGAGCAAGGGGGGCACACTCAGGCTATGGCTGTTCCCAGGAGCACCAGGCGCTGCCTGACTGGACATTTCAAAATGGAGCAGCAGAAAAATCAAGCAAGTGAGAAGCACACCCTGTTCTTGGATAAGGGCACTTAGTATTAAATGTTGTCTATTCTCCCTAATTAATGATTCATGTAAGGTGAGTCCAAGGAAAACATTAACTTTATTTCAGGGATCATTAGAAAGCAATGCCAAAATTCTTATGAGGAATACGTAAGCAAGAATAGCCAGAAAATTCTGAAATACAAGAGTAATGGTAGGAAGAAGCAGAACTGAAGGCAGTTCAGTCCTAGACTTGAGTAGGACGGGTCAATGGGGGCAGCTGGAAAGACTATGCCTGTGTTAAAGGTGGATTTTATAGGTGCCTGGCTAGCTCAGTCGGAAGAGCATGAGACTTTTGATCTCGGGGTTGTGTGTTTGGCCCCTGGGGGGTGTAGAGAAATAAATAAAACTTTTTTTTTTTAAAGTGGATTTTATACCAGTGAAGAAAGGGATAAGTGCATAAATGATGTTGAGACCGGGAGGTAGTCTGATGGGTTTTTTTTCCTCCATTTCTTGGTGGACCCAGACTGGGCGTCCTACAAATTTAACCCCATTCTGACACTGCCTATATGGAAATAGCATTAGAATCCACAGGTTAAGGGCTAGTCCCACAAGACTGCCACACTGCAGACACCAAATGCAAGTCAAGGTTGCTACTTCTGCTTCTGACCACCTGGCTATAAATTGGAGGTTCCCACGACCCCATCCTTGGGTTCTGTTACTATGCTAGAGCGGCTCACAGAACTCAGAGAAACATTTCCTAATATCTACCAGTTTATTATAAAGGATATTATAAAGGATGCAGAAGAACAGCCCAATGAAGAGATACATAGAGTGAGGTTCAGAAGGGTCACTAGCACGGAAGCATCTGTCCCTGTGGAACGGGGTGCTCTACCTTCCCTGCAAGTGGGTGCTCCACTAACCTGGAAGCTCATCAAATCGCCATTGTTTGAACATTACAGAGCTTAATCTACAGTTCCCCCAACGCCCACCGTTTCACAGAGGTTGATCGGTGGGGCTGAAGGTTCCAGCCCTCAATTTGCTTGGATTTTCTGGTGTCCAATCCCACCCTGAGCCTTTCTAGGGACCCCACACTAAATCATGGTCATTAGCCTAAACCCATAGTGGACTTTCTAGGAAGGACACTGCTGTCACTCAGGAAATTCCAAGGGTTTGAGAAGCTTTGTTCCAGGAACCAGAAACAAAGACCAATGATATTTTGTATGATACCATAGGTGATCACAAAGCTGGATCGCTATCTCACTCCTATAGCAAAATAAGTTCCAGATGAATCAAGGGTCTTAAAATAATGAGAAAACAAACCAAAAAAAGGAAGAGAGGGGAAAAGGCATGGTAGAATTAAAAAGAATAATTTCAAAGGGAGCTTTTCTAAGTGTGACATAAAATTGAAAAGTCATAAATAGATTGATAAATTTAACTACATAAAAACTAGGGATTTCTGCACAACACATGTAAGAATGCATAGCTAAAGTCAGAAAGCAGGTGATAAGCTGGGAAATGTATCCAACAGAACTTTTGACAGAAAAAGAGCCCATTTCTTTAGTAAATAAAGTGTTAATGCAATTCAAGAAAAAGACTAATCCAACAGAAAAATGGGCAAATGGCTCATTTTTCCCAGACATTTCCCAGAAGAGGAATTACAGAGGGAAGCAAACATATGAAAAGATGACCTGACTCACAGTCAGAGAAATGCAAAATAAAACCACAGCGAGATAGAATTTTTTCACCCCTCCAATCAGTCAAGATGAAAACGTTTGCAAGCACACGGTGCTGGGCAGAGTGAGGGGCAACAGCAATCTAATCGCGTTCACTGTGGCAGGAGGGTCAATAGACACGGCCTCTGTGGGCAGCAGTTTGGGTCCAACTGTAAATGCCCATCCTCTGACCCAGCAATCCCACGGGCAGGATTTGCCCGCCAGCTACTGTCCCCAACGTGTACCAACGAGGTACAACTGTGTCCACCGCTAGTTGACGCAGCCTTATTTGTAATCGCCAAACAGACTGAAAACCAATATCCACTGATGGGGGAGCAGGTCAGCTACGTCACAGGACGTTCATACAACAGGATGTGAGGCAGGCTTTCCAGAGAATGATAGGGAGGATTTCCCAGATACAATGTTTAATTTAAAAAAAAGAAAGAAAGAATAAAAAAAAAAAAAAAAAAAGGCCAGCGGCAGGACTTCAATCCCTGCAAAAGCCAAGGGAGTTTTAACTGGAAGTCTTCAAACTGAGGTACACACACCCCTCCCAGCCCTACTCCCAGCCCAGGAGGTGGAGCATTGACGGTCCCCTTACTCTTCTCCCTCCTTACAAAATAAAGTCTTACTCAGGCCTTCCCTGTCTCTTTCTCTCTCTCTCCCCGTGCCCCCCCACACATATATAAGGCATAACAAGGCATTAGAGAAAGAGAATTCTGTCCTGGATTGTACAGTGGGGCAACAGGAGCTAAGGCATTTTTTATTTAACAGTCTTACTTCAGAGAATGTACCATTGTCCAGGGATGCCCCCCTGATATCAGGGCAAAGGGGCATCAAAGTAAGTACTGAGAGTAGCAACACACATTTAATCTGTGCCATTTTCTATCATCTGTCTATCTATCTGTCTGGCTGGCTACCGTGTATCTGTTCCACCTACATACCCATCTATCTACCTGCGTCTACCTTTCTTAGAACTGAGAATAAAAAAATAAGATGGATGACGCTGGGATGCATTCTAACATGCTTATTTGAATTGGAAAATAAAAATGGATTCTTTCTGACAAAAACACATCTATCTGATCTGCTTGCTTTCCTGGACAGTAACAGACAGGCATTTCCAATGATGTTATATGGCAAACATTTCTGTAAATTAAACGAGTCAAATCTGCAGCTGCAAAGTTTTGATGAAAAGTTAAAACTTGTTAGAGGATGAAAGCACTTTATAAAAAATATAACACTGGAAGATATATTTAAATTAGTAATATCTTAACTGACCTTACCCATTCTGAGGATCTTGGCTTAAACCAGAATGCTGCAGAGAAAGTGTCCGGGGTGTAATTAATAGTTAAATTAGAAGCCTTGGTGAAATCTTTATGGCATGCTTCCGAGAAATTGAGGAAGTGAGTGATTCAAAGTTTTGCTTTAAACAAAATTGAAGGAGAACCTAATGGAATTGTCAGCTGATAAATCATTCAGAAGAATGATCACAGTATACTTTTTTAACAGTTAATTTGGAAGAATTGAGTGACATCGCTGTAACAAAATTTCCATTCCCAAGGCTTCTAATTACTTGCATCTATAAAAAGAAAAAAACTGGCATAAAACACATGTTAAATCCTATCTTAATCTAGCAATAAGAAATATTCATTCATTAACTGATTTTTTAAAAAGATTTTACTTATTTATCTGACAGAGAGAGCGAGCACACAAGCAGGGGGAGGGGCAGAGGGAGAGGGAGAAGCAGACTCCCCACTAAGCAGGGATCCCCATGCGGGGCTCGATCCCAGGACCCTGGGATCATGACCTGAGCCACAGGCAGATGCTTAACCGACTGAGCCACCAAGGTGCCCATTAACTGATTTTTTAAATAAGCCTCATCCTGTCTCATTAAGAGATGAATTGCCAAAAAAAATTTACCCTGAGCATTTAATAATTATTTCTAAGAACAGGCAATATATCTTTGTTGTATTGGTTAACTGTGTAAATATAATAAGTGCCTCCCCAAAAAGTTTTCAGTACTTGGAGGCCTATGGTCAAAGAAAGAAAATCTTTAGTTACATCATTTCAGTTAAGGGGCGTATTTGGTTACAGATTAGTGTGAAATGGTGATCAGTGATCATTGATATACATATATATACTTGCATATGTACTCATGTACACACACACACACACACACACAAATATAAAACATTAGGATGGGGCGCCTGGGTGGCTCAGTTGATTAAGTGTCTGACTCTTGGTTTCAGTTCATGTCATGACCTCATGGTCGTGAG